ATTTATTGTACTTTTCAGAACAACACTTGGGGCTGATTTATAGTAGGTCAAACTAAATATTTAATTCGAATTAAAATCTAATGTGCGATTAATCCGAAAATCTGATAATATGGTTGGTTGAATTTGATCACATGATCGATTAATCGGGTGATTAAGTTAATGCCGTGATTAAGTGCGTCTACAGACTGGGTCAGACAGACAAATAATGTCACACATCTCTTGACCATGAATGGAAAAATATTTACCAGTCAATCTCGTGCTAGAATTACTAGCACACCGTATTTTGATCCTCTGCACTCAATCATTTTTACACCGATTTCATTATAAATGTAGTATGACAGTATTACTTTGGATTTTATAAACTATTCAGCACAAAACTCTACTTGAATGCCATGTTTAACAAAATCCTGGATACTAAAATAACTCCAAAAGGAAAAGCATTTGAATTTTAATATATACTTATAATGCAAACATTATTGTTTGTTAACGGAATCGGAAGCTTGCTAAAAATCGGCGAAGATTCCACATATCTTGCTTTTTTTTAGTTCCTGAGAATATATTAGGGAAATATTGCAGCAAGATCATTTTGACGAACGACTAATTTCATATTTTCTCGGAATTTCAGAACTTGGCAATAGGAAAGCATCGGTTTCCCTTTTCTAATAATTTACGAAATCACTGAATTGATTACTGTGAACTTTAAAATGATCGTATAGTTGGTAAAACCTAACTAAAAATTGTCTGTTAATCCTTAACAAAAATTTGATGACGTAAACTTAAAGTTTTATTAAGTATCCCTTGCATTTGGTTTAACGTTAACCTTATTCATGCTTAAATTAACGATTAAATTGTGAATATACGTTAAAAGTCCATAATACGTTAAACTAATTACACGCCTAAAAATTCTCCAAAATCCGAAAACTTATCCCAAGAAATATGAACACACCAAAAATGATTTATTTGCATTCAAATAATGCTGAGTGAAAATGTAAGGCTTCCTACACACGAAGCCCGGACCTGTCCGTATGAATAAAACGTATTTTGTATTCATCGCTATCGTCCTTTAACTCTGACATCCGTCATTCCCTGACCATTGTGCTTACATAATGGCTAGCTTTTGAGTCTTGTTTACCGCCTCCACTTTACATTAACTACGTTATTCACCGATCGTGCCCAGCCTCAAGCAGTCATTTTTATGTGTACCCTTGACACAAAGGGTTAAGAAATTAATCGCAGGCTCGTCGAGTTTCGCCCAATACATGAAATCAACGCAGTTTTAATTTAACCGGCATCAAGCCTACAACCAAATACACATCCTCTTCTTAACCCACATCACGACACAAACTTGCTGTTTGAATAACTTAAAAACTAAAACGAATTCTTGTTTGCTAGTTTGTAGTTCGTTTTAGCGTCAGTCTTCTGTCACAAAGAGATAGAATTAAATAAATTGGAAGCTGTTTTCAATTTCGTACGTTATTTCTAACACTTAATTTTATTTCGTATGTCCAACTCTAACATATTACTGACAAATTACTACAAGTCAGAAAATAAGCCTACTGAAATACTGCCCCAGTTGACCCTCTGGAAGTAAAAACTTATGCACTGACGCTTCATACACAACAAATCAAACACGTTATCTAGTAGGTATTATTAACCGAATTTCTATTAACACTGCAAAAATTTGCTCATCTACATTCAATCTAGGTGTTTACATTAATTGGTATTGAAGTATAACATCGAAATAATGACCTTTTTATGGATAAAAATAATGACAAAAACAACAATCGCCCTGCTGACAAATTAAGTCTCGCTTTCCACTAATTAGACTACTTATATCGTTTACACCGATATGACGTTATCAATTTGTTTACTGAAATATATCATTTTATTGTTTTATTAATAATGTACAAGGTACTTATATGTTTACAAAGATACCAATCATACAACATTTTGGTAAAAAATTACTTAAAAATTTGCAATTTTATTAACCATACTAGCACAATCACAGACTTGTCTAACCGACTTGTCAAATTTTATGGCTACAACACCGGAATCAACTATTAATAATATAAATTAGGAACTTCATGTGAATACTAACACTAATGAATTAACCAAACATGTACTGCAAAGACACTATTTTGTATACTAATAAAGTTTTATGGCGCTGTTAGTGTCCTGTAGACCAACAATGGTCCAACAACCTTACCGGTAGGGATCTTCGTCAGGTTTTTACAGGCAACGCATGCCGCTTTAAAATCTGCATAAATTTCAGGGTTGCATTTAGGAGAACAGTTGGCTGTCAGAGATTCACTCGGCACAATATTGTGACGAAGTTATATCATAATGCCAGTCAACTAAAAGTCAACTAGACGCCAACATACGAACGCAAATATCATTCTATCACTCTGGTCTTTACAAACAGCTCAGTTAAATTCGTTGCACAATAACGCAAATCCGCCCCTGTTCACCATTTACCTCCCGCCCACCTTCGACCGGGAGTTTGTAATTTATGGTTTTTTCGAATTATGGGCTTGAACTCTTTAACTTTTAGGTTGTAAAATTTTATTGGTATACAAAAATAGTTAACTTTACAATCGATATCCTTCTATTTACACAAATCTTTCATAGGAAAGGACAGTATGTACTCAAATTATATAAGTTTCTTAAAAAAAATTAAATAAACTTCTCAGGCATTGTGGCCCTAAAAAACATATTTTGTTAAAATATTTATACATTTTAATTAGCACTGAAAATTCTACGCTAGACAGAGGATGCACTAAAATATTTTTATGAAATTATTCATTTAAAAAATTAAACATTATAATTTTAAATTGTACAGTGTTCCCTTACAAAACAGGCAGTTTACATTGTATGCTAACTGACATTTTATTTATTCAAACTCTTTAAACTAATTAAATTTTAAATTAAAATAGCACAACTATATTATATACTACATATTTTCTAAAATTCAACTGAATTCGTCCAACAGACCAAATTTGTTTTGATACCATTAGTGCATTCATGTTTAATAACGTACAGGATAATTATAGTAAATATTAAAATATTGAATTTTGAAGGAAAACTTATTTGAAATTGGTCACAAAATATTTTTTTTTTGCAATTTCGCGACAAAATACCAATACAATGATCTTTTTGAAGTTTTAACCATTACGTTTAAGTGTCAAAACAAAGTAATACAAGTGACAGACATAATGTGGATATGAACATTCACTTACTGTATAAGTGACACTATGGTGTTAGCCTAAATTTTGACCACACTGAATTATGGTTAAATCCCGGTCTTATAACATACGACATTTCTTTGTCGACTTTAAGTTTTAATGCTTTACACATTTCACTGACTATAAAATGATGGACTGATGAAATAACTGCCAAAATGCTGGGAAATATACAAAAAATCTTGTTTACAATATACATGCTATAGTATACTACAAATATACAACAGAATATATTTAAAATTCTTAAATTTTTATAGAACTAACATGTCAATGTCTATATATTTGTCAAAGTACAACCTTTTTTAAGGCTCACACCCTGGTTAGGGCGTGAGTTATTGGTTGTTCATTTTTATTGATTTATTACTTGTAACATTTAAACTTATTCACAACATTTAACTGTAAATTAGACTTTACTATCCAAGCTGAAAATGCGAAGTTCAAGTTTGCCGGCAAACCCTGATGCAGGTAAAGAAAAGCTTTTTGCACGTGGCGGGAAATGCCTTTAGTTTCATTGCGCACTGTGTTTCAATACGATATCATAACGTGTTTCCGCAATATTATAATACTAAAAAAGGAAAAACGACAAGACACAATTAAGAAGTATAACCGTCATTAGAAAATCGTTACAAATCAACTACACAAAATTATTTGATAGTAGAAATAAATTTGTACAAAAAAATTCTGCGTGCAGGTCGCGAAACGTCTCTCGAATGATTTTTAGCTCGACTGCGCCTCGCCAAAAAAAATCATTCTGGTACGTCAAAGCACCATTTCACGAGCTACACGACAACTGTATGAAGATTGTTCGGTAAAAAAATTACTGCGGAAAATGGCGAAAAACAAACAAAAAACCAAATACTAACCAACCAATTAAAACTTGGCAAACGTCATTGGCGTACAAACTTTCAGGAGATTTGTATACGTATTATAAGCTCTACTCAGATGATGTGGGTGGATTTAGCCACGACGATTCAGTGTGAATTTTCAAATCCACAACAAATCTGTCATTTGTATCATTCTATTTTGTCACTTAATTGTAGTAGCTAAAGCTCCAGAATTTTGAACAATTAAGTGTACACTACTGTTGCGAATCCACTTTGTTATAAGCTACAGAAAAATTTACTCGTATGAAAGAGGAGATGTACCTACATTTCACATGTATGTATAAAAATACTTGAGTTTAAAATATTCCTACGGAAACTGCATCTAACTCAACTTCCTTTTAAACCTCGTGGTCTTGACCGTGAAAGATTAGAAGAATTAACGCAGCTGCACTTACTTATTCTAACTTCATGTAACAAAAACATTCACTGGAAATAGTGCACATGTTATTTTCACAAGTGAATACTACTCGAATAAATTGCCCAAGTTTTATGTTTTTGTTTTGAAAAGTGCTGTTATTTGATTAAAAACACTGAAAAAATATTTAATATTCCAAGAAGAATTAATACGTTTGTTACAAACTGAAGACAGATAACCAATTTCTGGGTCACCACTTTTAATAATAAAAATAATTATTATCTGCTATTTATATATCATTCAAGTACAACCGACTTCAAATAAATGTTGTCACTGATACAGTCTTTTTTTGACCGAAAACTTCGACACATGCATTCGGACACAATTTGGGTTACTGCAGAAATTTGAAACAAGTTTTTTTTAACTAAACCGATACCCGGAGCGGTTCCTGTAAATCACGCAATGCCGCTGAAGTCAACAAACCTTTTATTCAAATTTTTCATTACAATAAAATTAACTTACAATTGTCAGATTAGTGGCATGTCCCATGAAAAAAGTTCATCCCTCATTGCATTATAGTGTGGTTGTGTGGTAAACCGTGCGGGTGTTGCAAAGAAGCGAGGCAGCTGATGCACTTTACAAACTTAACAGAATTATAAATGATATAAACACACACGCACATGTATAGTACTTTTTCATTTAAAAACAACCATGTTTTCTTTTATCAAATATAAACACAAATACATGAGCATATTGACAACACTAAACGCGCCTGCCCGAGCAAGGCTTTGCACTTCTGCATGTAGATTGTCACTGGCGAGCCATTACCGACATCCTTGTCAAATGATGCGCCATCTGGCAGTTCTTGTTTACACTGTGTTTGATGCATGCACAGTTTACTGATTTGGAAATCTAGTTGATATTAGATTTCTCCCATTTCTCTTTGAATTCTATTTATCCAATTCTCTCACTTTATCGATACTACACGGGGGTTTTACACGATAATTTCCTGATATATTCATCCACAATATCGTTGCTTATGGCTTTACAGCAAACTTGTAAATAAAAATTACTCTAGATCATACTTACTTCGCCTAATTTTCATTCCTAGTTCTAAGTGCTGAAAAAAAGCAACAAAATGGAAAACTTCTTGCAGAACGGTACTTAAAAATCCTCGAACCACATCATAATTAAGTGTTTGTTTATTTCTCTGCATCAAAAATACTGATAACAAATTTTAGGCTATTTGAAAAGCTTTTAAAATAAACTACCCCTAAATAAATGTTGTCATTGTTTTGGGGGTTGTTTTCAATGGTTACTCAGAAGCCTCTGAAATTTTACACCAACACTCATATTCTGATGTAGTAAAATAAAGAAATACAAAATTTGGGACACAATTCAAGCATGTTTGAGTGCGGGCACCTAAACTCCGGTCGGATATTTATTAATCCGGCACCTTAAGTCCTCTCCGCAGTCATCGTTGAACAAATCTCTAATTCAAACATTGCATTAACTCTGGTCGGCAGTGCCGAAACCAGCTATAGGCCGAGTAGGCCCTTGCCTAGGGGCGCCAACGGCAAGGGGCGCCAAATTCGTCCAAAAATTATGTTCTATAGTTTTGGAAATTTCATTGTACCCTATAAAATTTTATTGACAATAACGAGATGGACAGTAGTACAATAGCAAGAGATATTTACAACTTAAGTTGTCGCGTGCCGATAATTCCCAGATGTTAGAAACCAGAATAATCCAGGTCCGGGCAGGGACCATCTTTACTTATGAACAGAAATGACCATTATTTTATGAGTACAACTACCTGGCAAATGTTCTAAACAAATTCGAGTGAACTGGTGTGAGCCATAAATATTTCTTTCCATTGTACTACTGTTCGTCTCCTTATCGTCAATAAAATTTTATAGGGTAGAATGAAATTTCCAAAACTATACCAAGAATTATGTCATATTATTCTTTTTTTATTTTGAACGGAAACTCAGAAACATGTACCCGGTGCGACAGGTTTTTTAATGTTGATTTTATTTTGAACTTATATAATATTTATACATATTATATACCTATATGTGTAAACTGGTTTTTTTTTCTTTTTTTATATTTGATCATAGTATCTGTTTTGCGTACTTTTTAAAAAATATAAATAAAACTGTTCTGTAAAATTGCATTTTTATGTGTAGAGAAGGGGCGCCTAACGCAAGGTTCGCCTATACCTAAATATTCTTTCGTTTCGGCACTGCTGGTCGGGCAAATGTCTACCTGAGTGTTGAATTATATTTACTTATACTGATTCAATCGATAATTCAAAAAATCGTCTCTGGCATAATAGTGTATTAATTTTGCCCTCAATGCCCTCTCATAAGAAAAGTCACAAGCCACCAGTGGTGTTGCATAGTACTAAATATTAAATGGCTAATGATAGAATTATCACATAACAGAATAAATGTAGTGAATTCGGTACTTCATCGATATATGCATTTCAAATATAAATTTTTTTCTTCTGCAAAAAACAACAAAACAAAATGCAGAAAATACTGCTTTAGGTGAATTGACACTCATGGCCACTGAGATGAACTAATTGAAATGACTATGGCAAACATTGAAAACGTGGAGAATACATAAAAATTACTATACCAGACAGTATAACCCGTGATGAATATAACAATAGTTTCTACACATACGAGTATTTTATTACTCACTTGAAAAACATCTAATTTCATATTTTGTCGATATTTCATAGCTTCCAAAACATGAGAAAGTAAGTCTTTGGTTTTCGTCTGTCGATAATTATTTATAAAACAGATATTTGCGGAACTGCTGAACTGATTGCTGTGAGATTTTGTACAAGCTTTAAAATAATTACGAACATGGTAAATTGCTAATCAGAATTAATCGATTCATCCCTTTTAAAAATTTAACGACGTCATTTCCAAACTAAAAAATATTAGTAAACCTCTCTGGAAATGCATAGTTGTCATATGCTCCTTTATTTATATTTTAATGATGCAACAGTATTATTTTGCACTGTTTATACAGGATATCTTAAAAACAATTGTGAATGAGGCAATTAATTTATTGATTAAATAAAAAAAAAAAATAAGATAATCTTTCTCTTAGGACGGAGGGGTTATCGCAAAAAATTATATTTACGGAAAAAAATGTTATGGTATCTTCACGAGCGTGGAAAGTTATTAGTGTTATTACATATTATAACTTTAGAACAATTTTTTAATATCTTTTTTTTATATACAACACAACCATTAATAATTATAGTGTACCATATTTCCAGATCTTTAAGATAAAATAGGCTACTTTTGATACAAACGGCAAAATAAATTCAACTGTACACCAAGTTTTTTAAATTTGGATTTTATAAAATAATATAGCGAAAGCACAATAAAAAACACGATCACAGACAGCCATGAGTTTTTGAAGATTTGTTTTTAATACAATTTTCGTCTTACCGAGTACCGTCAATTTGAAAATTTTAATTTAACATTACTTCGGTAGAACAATAGTTCAGAAATCAATTGGTAAGTGGTATGTATTCACATCCGTAAATGTCTATGATGGTGTTTTTACTGCTCTCTCCATACTTCTATAGTTATGGTTTATTAATTCCCTGACTTTTTACCTTGTGGTGACCAAATTTGAATTGAAATTTCGCGCTGAAAAAAAAACAACGGCGCGAAATCGCTTTTGATTAATTTGAATTTGAAAAAAATTCAAATCAAGAAAATCGTTACACATAGGTAACCATGTGCAAGTTTAGTTCCTTTTTGGTAGTTGGTAGTTCTGCTAGGGAATTTGTAGGTAGACGGTTGGTAGTGAAGTTCACGTGTTTGGTAGAGGGTAGGTGGCGCGTCACTGTTGTTTTTGTTAAAGTCACTAGATAGTGACTTTAGTTTTTGTTTTGTTTTGGTGAGTGAAAGGACGCGGTAAGGAAGCTAGGTTAAGTTTAGTTGGTTTAGTAGTTATAAAAAAGGTGAACACCTTGTTTAACGAAAATTAATGATAACGACTACGATCCCACAGTTTCCGCAACAAGCGGAAATATGCAAATTTTCGACCGACGCTAAGGCGTGGTATAAATTTGTTTTATTGTTTGTAAATTCACAGTTCTTGTTAGGATTTTAACCGTTACTGGTTCGAACACAATTTAACAGTCATGAGATTTGTTCCAATAAAGCACTTGCTAGGAGACTCATATCCTTTGTTTATCAAGTTGTAAATAAGGTTTCTGGATGTTTATACTTAAGTGTTACATTATAACACTTGTTAATTCCTCACACAACATTGCTAATAGTTCATTTACGGCAGTCAGATCAACAGTTCACGATATAAACTCTCAAACCAATTAACTTTAAGTAACCAATCACTTGGATCATGGCATAATTTAACATCATGTAAATTCTTTGTTTGAACCGTTGATAAAGTGTGACATAATTTAACGTCATGTAAATTCTTTATCTGAATTGTTGATAAAGTGTGGCGAACATTAAACTCATGTAATTTTGTTAGCTTTGCAATTTTCCACTTCATGCGATTTTTTCTCTATCTCATAATTTTAGCCTGAGTAATTTTCTTTGCTGTATAATTTAAATTGAACGTAAATTTCATGCTCTGCAGTCCCTAACCTCACGTAAATTTTTTGTCTACACAAGTTCTACTTCACACCAGATCTTTTTTTTTATATATAAATCCTGCTAGTTATTTCTAGCACGTAAATATTTTGTCGATAAATGCTTCCATCATATAAATTGTCTGATGTCCAGTCTTAATCTCAGATAAGAATTCTTTGCTGTTTAAAATTTCACGAGGGTGTATGGCGAATTCAAAAGTTGTTTATTGCTCTTTTTGAAACTTTTAACACTTGTTCGATTGTAGTTGATGTCAGATTTATAGAAATTGAACATTTAAATGAGGTAAATAACACAGAAGCACGTGACAGAAGCGAAGGGCGCGGTTCCTAGTCGAGCTAGCGGGATTTATCGCGCCTTCTGCACAAAAGACACAGACCTAGAATAGAAGTCAGGGGCGGTCGGGATTACGTGACGCTGTCGGCTTGTCTCAATAGCCGGGACCCAACCACGAGTTTGTGACCGTAACGGCCTGCTCGTACGGCAGTGCTTGCTGATGGAATAGAATCACAATCGTGGGGGGAGAACAGCCACGACCAGGAGCCCCAAACTCCGCTCGTGCTACAACGCCCCCTATGAGTATTTTTGTTGTGCTCTAGAATGAAATTGATATAGTTCGATCGCCACACTCTTACAGCGGTCTGGTGCCGCTGTCGCGTGCACAGTTTTATTAAAATTTTGTTATCTTGCTGACTGCCATAATTTAAATTTGCCGCCACACGTCCGCAATAACTTGTGTATTTGCATCCAGTTAGTTTAATTAAGATTTTTCTGTTTCTATTAAATTTGTCATATTCAAGTGTTTGCATTGATTCAGGACGTTTAATTTGATTTCATTCCAAGTTAGGCATGTTTTTTTTGTAGCTAAGCATTAAGAGGTGTCTTCAATCGGCACAACTTAGTCGCAGCTTTTTTTTGTCAGCGGAGGAATAAATGATTTTGTGTCCTCCATATATTTTGTGTTTTATTTAGCGGTATTTTTCCAACCTTGGGGCCCACCCCTTGACTCTGAACGCATTCCGCCACAAAAAAAAAACAAACTGTAGGGTTCCATTTTGTTTTTTCAACCACAGCCACGGCCAAATTTTTGAAATTTTCGCAGGCTTTTCAAATTTTTTTTCACATGTCATTTTAAGGCGGGATGTTTGGGTTATTATGACCCTTGAACATTTAAAATACAAAACCGACTACTCTTACATCTTGCAAATAAGTTGTTAAACAAAATTTATCTGTTTAACTCCTCTAAAAATTTGATGGCATCATCTCAAAATTATCAATACATTCATATTTTTGAAAAAAATATCAAAATTTTACTATGATCAGTCACCAAAATCTTGTAGATTTCTTCTCTAGACTTTATTGAATTAGTATTACTTTTGTCTGTCAAAGTCTTGTGTTGGTCATAGCACTCATAGCACATGAAATAGGATGTGTAAACAATGAAAAAAAAATCATATGTGGCCCACAATTATTGGGAACAAAAATTTCACATATGCACAATGCAACAAATCAAAAAAATAACTTACCAGAGATGTGAGTTTACAACAAACTTTATTATTCCAGACCGTCTGCAAGTGTAGGAGGGGGCGAATGTTGCTAATTATTAGGAATAGCAACAAGCTGTTTCTCTTCTAAAGTGGTTGAATCCTACTCTCGTAGAACCGGGTACAAGGGTAACAGAATAAAAGACATAAGCATCTTTTTAAAAATTAATTGTCCCGAAAATGAGGGATTTATAAATTTATAATAATTTGATAAAAAAAAACAGAAAAAAAATTCAAAGAAAAAACATACATAATAAACTGTCAATGCATAAACTAGGTATATAAAAATAGTTCTCTATACTAAATTTTATTAAAATGGCACATTCATTGCATCACATTTATGAGTTGTTCCCAGTTGTACGATTCTTCTTTTTGGATGACTTTGCTGAAAAATGGATATACAAAATATTAACACACAACATATTAATACAATAAAAAATGAATAAAAATTTAACTCGAAAAATAAAAACGTCCAAATAAAATTTGTTGTCACTTTCAATAGGTAATAATTTTAATTCAGCTTCTAATTTACGATATGAATTACGTTCTGTGTCATTACCAGGAATTACTTATAAATGTTTTCATGGTATAAATGAAATTTAACTGTATTTCTAATCACACTTTCAATGTACACTGCAGTAAAAAATCTAAAACAGTAATTTCATAAAAATAATACTTACGTTCTACATGACATACAGCCGCATTTGCCCCTATTTCGATCAAATAATTAAGCCATAGTTTCTGTTTAATAGAAAGTTTGTCATTTTCGCTTTTTACTTCCACAAATTTCGCCTAAAAAGTGTATGGATTATTATTAGAATACAACATATTTCCACAAATTAGTTTTTAATAAATATAAATAAATTCTCAAACTGGTTACAATCTCAGAATAAAATCTGAACTCTATTGACAAAAAACATTTTCTAGTGTGAATTGCAATGACAGGATCTATAATAGTCATAGGAAAGCAAATTTTGAAGCACAAATAATTTAATCCAACTTGACCATTTCATACATACCTTTTTCTCTGGCAAGTTCCACACGATCAAATCTGGAAAACCGCTACGATAATATTTAAAATTCTTCACAAGCCTTTCAAAAATTTTTCCCAGAACATCCCTCCCAATGCACGTAATTGCATTGTAAAGACGTTCAGGTTTATCCACAACTGCATCCAATGAACACAGTGAAGTTTCGTGAGAATGAAGAGTCCATCTATCAAATAGTCTTCTCCTAAAAATTTCTTCCGTCCATTTATGCTCAATGTCACTTAAACGCCTTTTAATTCTACGTTCTCGGTTTTTATAAAAATGACTGGAATACATATCCAGCGGTGCACTTTGTACTTTAGAAACAAATGTTCCTTTAACATAATCTTCATAAATTATGTCCCAAAATAACAGACAAAATGAGGCAATGATCAAATTTCCTTCACAGTGTTCGCCATCTGGAAATCCTACAGTGCGATAATACTGAAGGGCCGTCTGTTCAACAGTCAGATAATTCACATCTCCATTTTCGCATTGATGGGCGTACATTCTTCTACGTCCTGGTTCCTGACTGGAAAGATATTCAAACGTTAGGTAATTTAAAATGTAGAAACAATAAAAAAATAGCGGACATATTGTTAAAATATTACAATTTTTAATTAGTTAAAAAGTATTAAAGTTTACCTAGTCATAGATTTACAATCTATGACATCCTGAGGCCAAACGCGGTCACATGATGGGGGAGATAAAGAGACGATTTCATCATGGTATAAAGGTGGCAAATTATAGGTTTTTCGGTTAAGCATTTTTCCTCTGTGTAAAAGTTCTTGTAACTGAATGTCAGACAAATGATCTCTGTCTTCTGTAAACGCTTTGATTATTAATTTGGCAGCCTAAAAAAGTAAATTACAAACAATTCTTACACGGAATGTTTCGTTCATTTTTTTTTTGTTTGTTACAAAGATAAACTGAAAAAATTTACAAAACATGTACATTATTTAATAAAAAAGTTACGTATGCAGAAAATAATAATACTGTGATAACCCAAACTTCCCGCCTTAAAATTTGAGCTTGAAAAGGTTTCAAAGGCCCGCGAAAAATTTAAAAATTCAAAGTTTGGCCTTGGTCTAACAAATGAGAACCTACGTTGTGTTTTTTTTTTTTTTTGTTTTTGAAAAATGGCGGGAAGACGTTCTTTCATACAAGTGCATACACGGTCGAGAGCGCAAGAAATAATAGACAAAAATTGTTTTGGAGGGGGGAGTACGGCACCCCTCACAGGGGGAAAGACGCTTCGAAGATTTACTCCTCAGCGCAAAAACCCCCTTTTGTTTTATTCCCGGACGACCTATTACATTTCAAACACCTTAAGATATGTGAAAGAAAAACACTCGCGAATTGACAGACATACGCATACGAAAAACGAACAAACGGAAATTCTGTACATCTGTTTGGAATCAATGCAAATATTTGAATATCACAAATTCAATAAAACAAAGCAAAAACTGAATCAAGTAACTGGATGCAAATACACAAGTTATTACAGGCGTGTGGCGGCCGATCTCCTTTTTTTTGTTACGGCAGTTAACAGCACAACAAAATACCCAGAGGGGGCGTCGTAGCGTGAGCGAAGTTTGGGGCTCTCGGTCTGGGCTGGTTTCCCCCGCGACGGTGATGCTATCTACACCAAAGCCTGCCGCACAGCACCCCTCCATGACGAACATGCCGTCCAAGCAGGCCGTTTCGGCCTAAAACTAGAGGTGAAGTCTGGTCAACTACTACCCCGTCGTCAAGACCGTTCCCACTGAAATATGATTCAAAGCCTGCACGTCTTGCACAGACAGCGCGATACATTCCGCTACCTCAACTAGGAACCGCGCCCATCGCAGACACTACGTGATATTGTGTTATTTACCTTCAATTCTATTTAAATGTTCGAACTCAATGACTCTCATATTAAATGACAACCGAACAAGTGTTAAAGTTTTAAAAAAAGAGCAATACACAACATTTAAATTCGCCATACAACCTTGTGAAATTTTAAACAAGAAATAATTCTTATGTGAGATTAAAGTCGGACATCAAATAATTTATACGATAGAAACATTCATCAACAAAGTATTTACAAAACAAAACTTAGCAAGGATTTATGCAACAAAAGATCTGGTGTGAAATAAACTTGTACAAATAGAAACATTATGAGAGGTTAAAACTGTAGAACATGAAATTTACGTTCAATTAAAATTATACAATAAATAAAATTACTGAGGTTAAAATTGTGAGATTAAAGAAATATTGTATGAGGTGGAAATTTGCAGAGTTAACAAAATTTACATGAGATTAATATTTGCCACACTTTATCAACGGTTCAAACAAAGAGTTTACATTATACCAAATTATATCATGATCTAAATGATTGGTTACTTCAAAAATAATTTACTTTGAGAGTTTAAAATACTACGAACTGGTTACCCCAACAAAACACATAAGGGTCCCCAGTCGTCGCCCGCAAAATGGGTTTCAGTGAGACGAATTATTTTTTGTAACTATGCAACCCAAAGTACGGATGCACGGCAGGTAGCGACCCAAGAGAGGAGAGATTATCGTCACTGTAGGGAGTCCATCATAAAATGCAAATTGGTAAACAACACCGGATAAGCTTATTTATTTTCAAATGAAGGGTACAGGGAAATAACCATCGAAATCCATTTGTATGTATTTTGAAAGAAATTGAGTTGAAAGTTTAAAATACTGCGGAAACTAGATTGAGAAACCCACAAGGTTCAGTCTAACACAACTTTTTATTTTCTTTATAATGTTTTAAAAATATATAAAATGAACTGTTTATGTTCAAATATAACAGCAAAAAAAATTGGTGGAAAGTTGTTTCGACAGAACTTCCCTCGCACCTAAAATAGAATGAAACATATCCAGCATTTTCGAGTTAAATTTTTAGTTTAGGTACACAATTTTGTGATAAAATCATCAACATTTTGCAAGGACACGTAAATCAAAAATAACAGTATTCCAAAAATTTCTGAGAAAATGGAGTGACTCGAGACTGATTTAATCAATAGAATAAATTGACTCATTCATTAATTTTTTTGAGCCACCTAGGTATATAAGTAAATCTAAAAAAATATAAATGCAGTGATAAATTACAAGTAAAAACTCATCATATTTTGCACATTTTTAGTAGAATTTATTCGGCAAAATTTTGAGATGACGTTATCAATTTTTTGGGAGGGGACAACCGAATAAATTTTGCTTAACGATTTATCATGATCACGGTAATCCTAAAATATTTACAAGATTTCAGAGCATTCGGTTTTGCAGTGTCAAAGTTACACAGCAAAATATTGTTATTCAGTTTTGAATTTTTTCCAAAATTTCTGGATATCTAGGGTGACAATTCGACACGGATCCATCTCCATGATTTTCCTACTAGACATACAAAATTTACCAACAATCGGTCCAGTAGTTTTGGAGATTACTTATCTAATAAAAATGGATACAGACAAGTCCATCTTGAACCAAACCACCGCAGGTACCGACTCAAGGAGGAAAGATTATGGTCACTATAGAGAGCCCATCATAAAATGCAAATTTGTAATAAGCTTGTTCATTTACAAATAATCCTAGCAAATCTCATAAGGCCAAATGCTGGTGGGGAGGGAGGTACATAAAAACGAAATAAACGCTAATTCTGGCACTTTAAATTTTGTGATCGTTGTGAACAGTGACTATACAAGTGACCACTTTACTAAATTCCAAATTTCGTAAGTATATACTTACTTCTTGTACACTTTTGCCAGTTTATTGTTTATTCAAGTAATTTCGTAGACCACGTAATAGGTTTTGCTTCTTTATTACATACAGTGTCTACTATAATGGGATCATCAAATAAAAGGCATCTCCCTGTATCAGTAAAACGTAAAAGTAGAAAACAACTAGCAAAACGTTACCATAAAATGCGGAAGGGATCTACAAAAATTTTTATTGACAATAATACTCGAAAAAGCAGCAATATTCAAGAATCTAATAATGAGCAATTATCTGAATTAAGCAATTTTGATGACGAAGTGTTTGAAATAGAAAAAGATACGCAAGACGAAGTAATAAATTTTGAATTAAAAGGACGAAGAATAGTCGACATTAAATATTTGTTTGATCAAATTAAATCAATTAAACATGATCTATATGGATGCACATTTAGTGACGTAGATATCATTAACGAAAAACATTTAGGATTGCGAAGTATGTTTACTTATAAGTGTAAGATGTGTGGTTTAAGAGAAACATTTGATACAGAAGGAAATAAAAATGATTATTATAGCATAAATGACGCCGCGGTTTGTGGAGCAGTAGCTGTTGGTATGGGATATACGCAATTTTCCGAATTATCTTCTGCTTTGAATATTCCGATAATGGGACAGAAAACATATACTGCATCAGAGACAAAAGTTTTTGAAATTACAGAGCAAGTGGCATTGGATGAAATGATTAGAGCAGGCAAAGAGGAACATGGATTAGCCGTTGAAGCTGGTGAAATTGACAGTGATGGAATTCCATTAATAACCGTAATTGTTGATGGGGCTTGGAGTAAAAGATCGTATAAGTCAAATTATAATGCATTATCGGGTGTTGGTTGCATTATTGGGGCTAGAACAAGAAAAATTTTATACATTGGAGTGAGAAATAAGTTTTGTTCAGTTTGTGACAAATTTAAAAATAATCAAATTAATAAACCACTTCATAAATGTTTCAAAAATTGGGAGGGTACATCGACAGGCATGGAAGCTGACATAATTTTAGACGGATCCAAAAATTCTATGAAGACACACAATCTCAAGTACGTTAAAATTATTGGGGACGGTGACAGCAGTGTTTATAAGAAAGTAAGAGATGCGAAGCCATACGGTCCTAACTGTTTTATTCACAAGATAGAATGCCGTAACCACGTATTACGAAATATTTGTAATAAGATAAGAGAGCTTTCAAAACTGCCCAGAACAGATATGCAGATACGTAACTTTTTGAAAAATAATATTTTGAAATTTAGAACTGCTATTGTTGCCGCTATAAGATACAGAAAAAAAGAAAACGGTCCTTGGCATCAAAAAATTTTAAATTTAAAAAATGACATCCTCAATGGTCCCAACCACATATTAGGGGATCATTCTAAATGTGCAAATTATTTTTGTAAACAAAGTGGACAAGGAAGTTTGACAGGTTTGCCTAATGAATTTTCAAATTCTACTTTGTATGAAAAATTGTATGCAGCTTTGAACAGAGTAGCAAATTTGTCATCTAGTTTGTTAGTTGATGTGGACAACAATGCCGCGGAGACTTATAATGCCGTAGTTAATAAATTTGTTGGTGGCAAGAGAATCAACTTTTCACTAAAGGGCTCATATCGGGGTAGATGTTATGCATCTGCAATTAGTTACAATACAAACGGAGCATATATTTTTGAATTGATGAAAAAGTGTAATAAGAGCCAGATAACATATGCCGAAACGTTTAGTAATAGACAAATAAAATGCCACAAAAAGAAACGTCGTATTTTAAAAACAAAACAGCGCACACAAAGTGCAGATTCTGATTATGGACATGTATCTAACGAAGCAAATGAAATACCTGATATGTCACAAATGGACTTAGAAACAGCGCAAAAAGTATTTCTCGAAAAACTTTCAAACGTTGATGTCTCTTTAATCGAAGAAAACACAATTGGCCAACGCAATAATCCAGAATGGTGCGCAGAAAGATCCTTTAGACTAACCGCAAGTTATTTTGGTAAAATTTGCAAAATGAGAGAAACAACTAACACGGCTAATACTGTGAAAGACATTTTATATCCCCGCAAATCTAGTTCAGCAACTACTCTCCCAAAACCTTTGCAACATGGCATAGAAAATGAAGCAAGGGCAATTGAAGAATTTTGTAGTAACACCAATCTCTCAATAAGACAATGCGGCTTGTTTGTCGATAAAACAAAAACATTTTTAGCGGCATCGCCAGACGGCTTAATAAACAAAAACGCTGTCGTAGAAATAAAATGTCCATATGCAGCCAAAGATTTGACTATTAGAGAAGGGATAGAACTCAAAAAAATTGATTATTTGACAATTGATATAGATGGTAACATAACATTAAAGGAATCTCATAATTACATGTATCAAGTTCAAGGACAATTACACATTACAGAAAAAGAATTGTGTTACTTTGTGGTTTACACACATAAAGAATTTAAATATTGCATAATTCAACCAACGAGACGATAAATTTTGGGAATATAATATGATAGAGCCCCTACAAAAATTTTATTTGCATGCCTTACTTCCGGAGATAGTAGATTCTCGTTATAAAAGAAGTCAACCCATCAGACAAATTCTAAAAAAAAAAATTGTAAATTTAAAAGAATTTATTTGCATTCGCAAGAATAAATAGTAATAGTGGAATAGGTCTACTGGAGATACCACGTAAAAAAAAAAACGCGCCTATAATACTTTACCTCAGAGGTGGTGCGGAAAAGAGTATCAAAAAATGAAATTTAAATAAATATGATTGTTCAGGTAAATAAGTGGTTAGTGAAGTGATGAGAATCTAAATCTTGTCAGTTTTGTGTATTGATTTATAATATATAGAATGACAGATTAATAAAAAATACTGGAATAATTTTTTGTAAGAAAATGTTTTAGTAGAATGTGTAAAATTATAAAAATTTGCATACTTTTAATTCAAATTATGTTAGCAATGAAAGAAGTCGACTTGTAAAAGAGTTTCAACAATGTTCGTAAGCTAAAAGTATTTATGAGTTTTATGACCTAAGTACCTGGACGGATTACTGAAAGGGTCGGTCGGCAAAGCTCCCTGCTGTGTCAAACTCAACCATTTATGGAAACGAATCCTTTGTAAATAGAGTTGCCTAGTTTCAATTTAATTTTATTATTCAGTATTTTTTTAAAACGCAAATATTTTGATAAATATAAATTTTAAACAAAAATGACCGGGTCTTCCCCATAGAGCTCAATGTTGTCTTTGCACTGATATAAAAGCTGAAGCGAAAAATGCTTTCTCCTCGTCTAAAAATGCAAATTCCTTCGAAGAATGAACGATTAATTAAACACTAAACAATCACTTATTTTAAAAAATATTGTGTGTTCCCCAGAGATTTAGACATAATCTATCAATTGAAATGTCGATCTTTTTTTCAATGTTGAAATTACGGCCGTAAAATAAAAATCTATTTAGCTCATTTTTCGGTCTGCTACTGGGGACCCATAATAAACAAATACAAAAATATCCAATCATCGCTCCGAGGAAAAAGCGTCTCGGGGATGTAAATTCCAAAATCGTTGCGAGGAAAAAGCGTCTCGGTAATGTAAATTTTCTGTAGCGTTGGGGGCATGCCTTGATTAATTAATCAATCTGGCGTTGCGAAACATGCCCCGATGAATTAATCGTGATAACGATGATAACCACCTAAGGTGAGAAAATATCATAACCCCCCCGCCAGTCCGCAGTATAATGAACTTCTTTAACTGCCGTAAATGAACTATTAGCAATCTTGTGTGAAGAATTTAGAAGTGTTATAATGTAACACTTACGTATATGCATCCAGAGACCTATTCGTAATTAAACATAAGGTGTTTTTCCTGACTAAGTGAGTTTCATGAAATCTTCTAGCAAATGGTTAATTTAAATAATCCTGATTGTTAAATTGTGTTTGCACTAGCTGACTATTAAGAAAAACTAGCTTGATTGGTGAATTTACAAACAAAGAAACAGATTCACAACACGTGTTCGCGTCCGACCGGAAGTCTGCAATTTTCGATTAAAAGGGCGCAAGAATTTACCGCGCGGGTTGGGGACAACTGTATCATTATGAAAAATACGTTTGATCGTCGTTAAACAAAGGCTTCCTCCCGTTTTATTAACTACCAAACCAACTAATTTAAACCTAGTCCTTACCACGTTGTTACACTCTCACCGCCACTATCATAATGACACATTCTACCCCATGCACCCTTTTTTTCTACCAACCCTCTAACTGAAATCACCCTAGCGCTACGTGCTGCCATCTAACCCAAAGATCATGCATTAACCCAGCCATGTGTCTATTTGGTTGCCTATGTTTAACGATTCCCTTTTTGTGATTGAAATTTCTTTTTTTCAAATTCAAATTATTTAAATGTGATTTCGCGCCGCTGTTAATTAATTTCAGCGCGAAAACTTTGATTTAAATTCGGTCACCACAATACTATTTCCAATTCTTGAAATCCACTTGAAACTTATAAAACTTTCTGCAATTTATCTTCATAAACAAAACAGGGAAAAGAGATATGAAACAGTGATATATTATTTACTTACCCTCTCATAATCTTTGACATACATGGTGTACACCAACGCTAAATGCTCATACCACTCGCCCCGTTTATGTACACAGTAATTCTGCGATATCAGATATTCATACCACTGCACAACGTGACTAAAGTAAGTCGTCGTTATGTGTTTAGAACCGCTTGATAAAATGTAAATGTACTGGGCATTTGGAGTAAAACGTTCCAGATGCGGTGGCCTATTGGAAACATCAAACGAAGTTCTAAAATTTTGAACTTAGTTGTCATCTATTAGGAAATAATCAAAAACTTACCCAAACTCTTCATTGAGTTCTTTCAACCTGTTGTACCCACACCTGCATATTTCGAAAATGTGATTTAGTGTACGTTTTTCCACAACTTTTTCTAATTCACTACGTAACTTCACGGCATCAGCAAATCTACCAGTTTAAAATTTATATTTCAAAAAAATCAAAGTATGTGTATACGTCAACTTACCGTGCAAATTCTTGTGGTGTATAAAAAATATGAAAGTTTTCAATATTATACGTAGGAAAAACGATATTAAAAAAACTAACATCTTTGAAGTAGTCGTGAGGGTCACTGAGTGAAGAATTGCTAAACGTATTTAAAAGATAGACAAAGTATAAGCACTTATTAAGATTGGTTGACAACTTCACACAAAACCCCATTCTTTCTTTAATTCGTTTTCTCAAAATATCCTCTGCATTCATGTTGGATGTCAATGTTATTTGAGTTTTCGTGTTTTTTATTAATTTAGCTACTATGATATCTTTGGGACCACTAACATTTGGAAATTTAAAACTACGTCCTATATCTCTTAAATCTTTCAAACTTAACAAATCCAACAAAGTAAATAAATCTTCTCTCATATAATCTATCTCAACAAAACCATTATCTTTTAAATAATCATACATCACAGTGACTTCTGAATCACTCATCGTGAGACCAATTTTTTCGACATATTTAAAAATATTATACCAAATGGGCTTCCAAAGAAATAATTTTATGCAAAGATATTGATAATTCTTCTCTATGTTAAAAAATTTATGTAACAATTGTTGATCGCTAGAACTCAGTAAAGTCAACAAGTGGTTCTGTTTTAAAATATTAACAAAAAATTCTCTGAATACTTTTAGTTGTTCATAATTCAGTTTTTTTGTTTCATCTTTAACCGGTTCTTTTTGTGGGGATTTTTTTGGAGATTGTATGACAACATTTTGTAGTACGCGAACTGCTTTCGGACTTCCGTCAACATTTTTTACTGCACGGACTGCTTTTGGACTTTCGTTAACAGAAGCATCTTCACTTGTGGTAGCGACACTACATGAAGCTCCTACATCCAAATTCTCGTTAAAAGATGACGTTAACAAATTTGACGACCTTAGGGGAGTTGAACTTGCAAATTTTTTTCTAGGGGATTTACTAGGACCCGGTTTGTTCAAAGAAATACTTTCACTTGTGGTAGCAACACTACATGCAGCTCCTACATCCAAATTCTCATTAAAAGATGACGTTAATAAATTTGATGACCTTAGGGGAGTTGAACTTGCAAATTTTTTTCGAGGGGATTTACTAGGACCCGGTTTGTTCAGAGAAATTAGTACACTGTTTGACTGTTTTGTAGTGACGTCATCGCCTGAAAAAGAAAATTACTTATTAAGTTAAATAAAACCCAAAGAAAACAATTTCTCTAAAAACAAAATTTTAAATTTTGAATTATTTGTGACTAAAAACGGTGTAATATATTTTTCAAAATGGATACGTATTGGGATAAGTACTTAAGATAGATTACTTTCAAAAGTGAAAGTTAAAGAGTAAGTGAGTCACAAGTTATTAACGGGGGTAACGAGAAGTTAATGGTTTAAAAATGTCGACTTAAAATATTCAATCGCAAAGTACATATAGCAAATAGAGTAAACACAACTGCACGCATTTTTTTCCTTAAAAGATAAAATTCTAGAAATCACTGATACGCAATCTTTAAATAATGAAAATAAAATCGGTATTAAGCCTTCTGAACGTAAAATATCTGTCTAAAATGTTTTTATAATTAATTTTATCCACGCCACAGGGGAAATCTTACAATTCAATCATCACTTGCTAGTGATAGCCATTTTATCTACTTATCAATTACTCCTATTATTTTCTGTGACAATTCTAATTTTAAAAATATTTCAGCGTTTGTTTCAAAACGCACACGCAATGAAAATACGAAAGTTAGACACCGCATCTTCAGTTACCTCACTAAATTTGAAACTTACAACTCTTAAGACAATAAACTAAAAAAAAAAAAATAAATTTTAAAGCACTAACAGTTAGAGACTGAATTTCATGATTTAATGGAGATTTTTCACTTGAACTGCAAAAACTTGTCCATGTTTTTGTGGATAACTACAACTATACACTGACAACATACAAATCAATTACCAATGCATTTTTTTGTGGATACTTAAATTCATGAACATGCAGAAATGATATAATAGTAGGTCGTTGCTCGTTGGGTAACCTTATACAGAGTTGTAGCAAACATTGCTCATGGCCAAAATGTTGACTTTAAATATAATTTCACAAAAAACTTACCTCCTCTTTTCTTTGGCGAGTTTAAAGTACCCTGATCATTTTCGGAATCTTCGTCATCTGAAAATATTGGGGCAGGTAATTTTCTTTTTGGAATTTCAGCTATAAGTGATGACATATCGTCTGACAACTTTGTGGGTAAATATTTTCTGTTAATTTCTCTGCTTTTCTCTGTGTCTGCACTTGATGAACTAGAAAACACCAGTTTCCTACGACTTCGAAGGTTCCTTTTGCCCTTACTAGGCGACCGTTTTGCTGATTCTACAGGTAGCGTCTTAATGCATTCTGTGAAATACGAGCTGATTTTTGTTTGATTCAGCTTTTTAGGAAGATAACGATTACACGATGCATCAGACATAGTAACATCGCTGAAGTTAGTAAAGCGTTTGCCAATTCTTATCACTATCTACAACTTATCACTACTAACGTTATTTTGGCGCTTTAGTTTTGAGGTTTTAGGTTTTAAGGTTAAGTTTTGATGTTTACACCAAACCAGGAAACTAGGGGAGGGACACCAAACTGCACTACGAAAGAAACAGAATCGCAAACCATACTGACGAAAATTCCCCAGTTAGGAAATCTGTTTTTCACTAAAAGTGACTGGTGATTTCAGTTTAGCCATACGACTGTCTTATTAATCCCTACGCGTTTATGGTGTTTATGTGCTTGAAAATTATGTGCCGTGTACGTTATGGACATAGAATACCCTCACTAGGGTTTTCTATGGTTATGGAAAATGATTCAAATTACGAAACTTACGGAACACATTTGCGACAGTTTATAGGTTATGTTATTACTGAGTTAAAAATTTTGGATAAGAATTAACAGATTTAAAAAAATGTCTTTACAAGCCGCAGCTCAAACCACAATTCTTCTCGGTCGGTGTGTACCGTGTCTTAAGCATAATGCTTCCAAATTTAAAATCAAAAGACTGGAATTGGACACTAATCTGTTGATGGTAATTTGATAAATACAAATAATTTCCGTTTTAATATTAAAATTGTTGTAGTACTTTGGTAAAGAAGAATACGTATATGCACATGACCCACAAAAAATGTGCAAAACTGGTGACGTCGTATTGATTGAACAACTCCCAAAGAAAATGACCCGTTTAATTACACATGCTGTCAAGAAAGTAGTTTATCCACTAGGAGACATCACAGATCCTATGACAGGAAAAAAAGTTGTTTCTGGCAAATATAGAGATCATATTGAAGCTGTAAATAAAGTATATGGTAAAAAAGAAGGGGCTTTTAAATATGAAGAGGCACCTCCAAGAGGGTGGCAAGAGGACAAAAAGGACTTCACACATGCAGAAACTTACATCAAATATCATGAATCAGAAAAAGATGATCCTTATGCAGTATAGACATTCAAGAGTGAACTAGTCCCAGTTAGTTAACAGTTTGTGGAGAGTAAGAGAACTGTTTTGAAATTTAACTTTGAGCTACTATAATTAACAGAAAAGTCATAATACTTGTTTTAGGTTTTTATAAAAATTAAACAACCTAATACTTCACTAAAATCACGTTGTCAACAGTCTTTATTTAAAATCTTAAAATCTCGCAGTTTAAAGTACATTACATACATTGCTCTATGTAAACAAACGTTAGCAACAAAATTTTGCTCAATGTTGAACTATTCAGGTAACAAACTTTCACAATTGTATTGTTACTACTTTAATACTGCACTTCTAAAAAATATAATCGAAATATTTTAAAAAATTAGCCCTACTTTTTAATTTAAACCTACTAATTATTTGACAAGAATTCTCTTTCAAGCGCAGCACCCATCATATTCCATTCTCCATCATCAACTTCATCTGGAGCTTCCATGCTTCCATCGCTCTCTTGTGAATCAGGCTCCAAGTCTAATTCACTACCTACATATTCACCTCTTCGGAATTTTATACTAGGTGATTCATCATCTTCAGTACTATTACTAGGGTCATTACTAAGATCATTTTCTTCTCTTTTTCTTTTGTAACCTTTAGGGTATTCTGCAGTTAAGGAATCTTCACTACTACTGCTACTACTAGTGCTGCGATTGGGTTCATTCTTCTCTATATTAGCTGCAGCTGTTTTGGCGTTTTTTTCATCTTCACTAGTATCACTTTCATCATCTAAAATATCTTCAACCTAAAAATTAAAATATGTTTTTTTTTTTTAATATCAGATCAGTTGATATTTTACCTCCTTATCCATATCTGCTATATCAGCACTGGAGAACGACATCAGTGGGTTAATGGTATCCATAAACCTTCCACTGGGTGTTCGTTTTCTCATTGCTGGAGTATTATGTTCCGGATAGCTGATTATATGCTCTGGGCTGCTGCAATGTGGTGGAGGATGCCTGTTTTTTGATCCTTTACTATTAAGCGCAAAAATTTTCTCATTAACGTGTTCCCATCTTTCTGCACATGACCACAGCCAATCAGGAGTTACGATTTTTAAATTCTTTTTTCTTCTGCCAGCATTTACTTTTGCAGTACCAGGTCTCACAGCAACTAAATGTGTAGTGTCTTCTTCTAATTCTTGCGTAACCTCAGCTCCCAAACTCTTTGCTATCTGGTATGCCTTTGACTGCTCCAATTTAATATGAGTTGGAACTAACCCACTAAAAACTAATTTACAACCCTTGAGAACACGTCCTCGAACCCTTGGAATAACTTTTTTTAAATCAGGCACTTCTCCTGATTCCATTCGATCGTAATCTTCATAAAAAGCTTGATGAATTCGTTTTAAAATGTCTTCTAGGTGTAAAAGGTAATCATCTGAGTCTTCCACTTCAATTAAATGATTTTCAGGGCATTTTGTTTCTTGATGATTTTGTGTATTACAGTCGCTTTCAGGTTGCGTGTCCAGATTTTCTTTTAATTCAACCTGTGGTGTTTCTGATTGTTTTTCAGTTTTATTTTCAACAATTTCCGTGGTATCACCATTCTGTCCAGCTTCGTTTGGCTTAGTTTCAGGTTTCTGACTGTCATCTTTTTCACTATTTTCAGTTGAATCTTTTTTAATTTCATTATTTGTATCACTAGCATCATTCAGCTTCACTTGATCATTATTTGAAGTTTGTTCTTTTTTTATCACTTTGACTTTTGATAAGTCAACACCAAGTTTATTATCATTTTCATGTTTATCTAAACCAGGTGGCGCATTAATATCACCAGTGTGTTGAAAAAAGTGATAGGGCTTTACATGAATTAAATTAGCAGCATTTGACCAAACATCTTCTCGGTCATCAATTATGCACACCATATTATCACCACAAGGAAACAGCGCCCTAAAAAATAATGAATGTCAGAAATACTAAAATACAATCCAAGTTCTTTGAGAACTCACTTCAAATTTGCTTTTTTACTAGTTGGGTCAAAACATTCATCTCTGGACAAAATTCTATTTGAAAAAAATCTCTGATCTCTGTCTAAAAATGCTGCAATCATGTGTGCATAATTCCTGGCGCCAAAGGTGCATATATGCAATTCAAATAAAGGATATATGTTGTTCAAAAAATCGTGAGTTCCAGGTCTCAGTCTTGTATAGTACCAAGGTGAATTAGGACCATACAACTGAAAATGGTACACATCCTTGATGTTTGGTTGAACATTATCATTAGTTGTGTGAATTAATGTTTGATCTAAATCAACTAATAAGACTAGCTTACGATCCTTCAGTAGTCTGTCAACGTCGGCCTTTCCAAGTTTCTGGGCTAACTACATAAAAAATAAGTGAATGATCACCCTCTGCTATGATATTTTACAAACCTCTTCACTGACTTTTAAATCTGGAATTGCGTGAACCATCGGCACAGAAGCAGCCACAGTGACGTCATTTTTCCGAAGATCTGTACCGCATTCGCCACACATATCATTCATAACTGTAGGATGTGTGCACTCTTTAAGTTCACATAATGTTTCCCTACAAAAAAATTTAATTCAGTTTCGCGCGCTTTTTTGAAAATCACGCTTACCCTGGCTTGACAATGGCGCCTTCCTGCGCCACAATCTTATGAATTGTTCCAGCTTGTGTTACCTTTAATTTACGTTGTTCCTCCTTGGAAGCCCCATCAAAATCGTATAAAAGAATTACTCTACCGATTGACACTGTATTTCCTTCGCTGACTTTCCATTTTAAAATTTTTATAGGTTTTGTTTGTTGCTGTGATATGCACATCGTTTTTTCCGCCATCTTGAACGGAACCGGGTTCACTCATGAGCGCCAATCACAGACCTCATTGGCCCGTATTCGTGCATCCGGCCGTTGACCAATCATTCGTTGCTTCGGCGCGCGAACTTTTTCAAATATGCATCACTATGGACTTGGTAGATTTTTTGCTCGAGCGATTAATAGAACAAGTTAATGGCAATACAACTTATATTTGATTATATTACTTGAAGCTTACATAAAAAATTTACGTTTTACAATACAAATTTATTTACTTTCATGAAAGATACACTACGATTTGGTATTAAGAATACAGGTCGCAACAAAATATATAATAACTTATTATCACCAACAACAGAAAAAAAATATACGTGTAATTTATTTGAGATGTCTTGTTTGGTACTCTTAAATACAAGAAATAAAAACAATAAATATGTGGCCTGAATCAGACTACCTATACGACACTCTTTAAAATAATCACAATAAGACTTTCATTACATAAATTAGTGGGTACCAATATCATCACATATACGAAAATACTCTGGATGTTTTTTCAACTGAATGATAACGTGATGTGCAAATTCTCTAAGTTGGAAGATATCAGATCATTAATTTATGTAATAAACCTGTGCAGTCACTTTCAATATTTTTTAATAAGGGTTTTTCTATCTTACACATAATTAAACCCTCGAGACAGATAAGTAATTAACAGCAACTTGAACCCTGAGAACCACCTGCACCACCAGCACCTGGCAGTGATGGATTTGTAGGGGAATGTTGTGGACCGATCTTTATGCCATTTGCCTTAAAAATAAAATATAACATTAATTAAGAAGTTATACACCATGGTATTGATTATTTTGAAAGGTCTGCATGCCTAACCAGCATTTAGAAAATGTCAGGTTTGAAGCACTTCTTGTGCATTCATTAGAGCAGAAACTTGAAAGCAGACAAACTAGTTCACCTCATTATTGATGTCAAAAACGCCCTCTTGTATTTTCTCATATATTTCTTTTGCGGTATTTATAAAAGCTTCCTCAACATTAGCAGCGGTTTTGGCTGATGTCTCCATAAAAACTAATCCATGTTCTCTGGCAAAAGCTTCACCTTCCTCTTTCTTCACTTCCCGTCTACTTTCAAGATCACTATTTAAAAAATAAATGATTGCCTAAATAGGACAATGTTAAGCAACAGTCATCACCTTTTGTTACCAATCAGCATGATAACCATATTTGAATTAGAGTGTTGGCGTGCATCATCAAGCCAAGTAGTCAGATGATTAAAGGTCTCTCTTCTTGTAATGTCGTAAACTAAAAGAGCTCCAGCCGCACCCCGATAATAAGAACGAGTAATAGATCTAAAAGCTTCTTGACCTGCAGTATCCCATATCTGTAACTTTATTTGTTTTCCATCGATTGTGATCATTCGAGCTCCAAATTCCACACCAATTGTTAGATCATGAACTGGTTGGAACCTTTTGTCTGTGAATTGTAGTAACAAACACGATTTTCCAACACCTGCAAACGTTATTGTTTACTTTGGGTAGATAATAGGTATTATCAATATTCCTTTAATGAACTGATTTGTGCAGCAGAAACCTACACATTTCATTGGGGTTAAATAAAAAATAATTGGCACGCGAGTACACCTGTCTGCTTTTAAAATCGTAATGCCCAAAATTTAAAAACAACAACACTATGGACCTTGACATCTCTTCAAGATGAATAATACATTGTCACCCAATGCAAAATATGAAATCAAGACGTTACCGTACCCGTCTCAAGATACAACACTGAAGGTAGTACATACCTGTATCGCCTATAATTATATATTTAAACAAATACGCGTACGACATTCTGGCAAATGAGAACTATAAACTAAATATATTTCACTCACTATCACTGAATATATCAACTTCGTAAAAAGATGACAGCTGTCTACTGTACGTCATCCCCTCGATAATGCGCAGTTGCTTTTTGCGCAGAAAACAAAGCCACCTCCGCATTGGTCAATAATGTTGAAATTCTCTTCCTTCCTCACTAAAGAAATCATGTATAAATTATTATGTCGTCATTAAATGAATAGTTAATGTTTAGACTTCCGATAAGCGTTGTTCCTTTTTATTATTATTGCAGCAACATTGTTTTGCAACCGTACAATTATTATTTTTTTGATTTTGGTGACACTGGTTTACAAGGACACTATAACCGGGAATACAAATGTAATTTAAAAACAAATTAATGCTAAAACTAACCGTACAGCCAGATAACACATTTTAACAACGTATAAAACAAAGGCAATTTTTTCAAACACAGATTTTTTATTTACAAAAAAGTTTTTACGCTACTATTTTTTTCCAGAAAAAAATTATGTTGAAACAAAACAATTGCAGTGCTTTGAATTTGTTAAATTATTAATGAATGAAATGAATTATTTTTTCTTTCCCTTTTTGGTACTTTCTTTGTTGGTACTTTCAGTTCCATCTCTCACAGGTTGCCAGTTCAATGGTTTTCTACGGTACATAGGCCATGGTGGAATTGTTAACTAAAATAGCATGTTAAAAGCAGAATTTTGTCAATGCGTTTGCATACCAAAGCAGCTAAAACAAATCCTGCTCCAAGTATATAAACTGTTTGTGAAAACTGCTGAATAATGTAGCCCCAAACTAATCCAACAACACCAAAAAGAGTAATAATTATACGTGATAACTTTTCAGCTGTTGCTTGACCCTCGAAATCCTGAAAACATATGAAATGTGACAGCAAAACGCTAGCATTCCTCAAAGTTACCATGTGGGTTGGAATTGACTGAATGAAATTCATGATGTATCAAATTTTTCAAAAAGTTTCCAGCGGCACTTGATACTATATTATTTACTAAATTTATTGTAATTCAATAAATTTCCAAGTACACGTCAACAGGTCAACTAAAGAACACGGTTTTTGTTTACGTAAAAATGATGTCGTTGATGGAACAAGTTTGACAGTTATGACAGATAACACGTAGTCGTAAGAAGTGACAAGCTGAACGAATAGATGTCACTAGTGATAGCCATCTGTCATTTGTACTCTTGGTTGCATACGTAAAATTTATTACGAAAGTGTCACATTTTGTGTTAATTTTATAAAATTTGTTAATTTTGTAAATAAAACCTGTGAGAATGTGGATAGAGGAGGCTGAAGAATTGTTTAAAGGATATTTACCGTATTATGTTTTGATCGTTTTGCCTATTTTTATTATAATATCACCAGCTAGCCCTGTCTTGGCCTCACATGAATTCCCAGTTTATAGAATGCAGCATTTTGATTTACACGGAATGTCTCATGGTATGAAAGTGAAATTTACTCAATAAATACTACATAGTGAAGATTTAAAATACAATATTCAAGAGTGAGGTTATGTTGAATTCGATTTTAGGTTCGAGGAGTGCAGCAGTTAATCTAGAAGCAAGGTCGTTAACAGACTGGAGTACTTCGCGGCATTGTATCATAGTGAAGTTGCAAGATTTGTCAATAGATCACTTTCGAAACATCAGGCAAAAAGCTGGAGCTCTGTTGGTGGTGTTACCAAATGATTTGTCAAAATTAAATGCCGAAGAAAAGCAGCATCTTCTTTTGCTTGAGCATGATATGTTGTCACAAGAAATTTCGGTACCTGTGTATTTTGCCATCTGGACATCTCAACTTGAGACTATACTAGATGAAGTATCTCAAAATGTAGCCACTAATGATTTAAGTAAATCTGCTGCTGAGGCAATGATTAGTTCAGTAGCAGCAAATGGGTACCAATTTGTCGTTTCTCCGGGTACAACTAGTGTTAAGCAAGATGTTAAACTTGCAACTATTCAGGGACATCTTCCAGGATACAATCAGGATGGTAAAGTGCCAACTGTTGCCATAGTGGCTCACTATGACAGCTTTGGTGTCGCTCCTGTAAGTTTAATAATAATACTTGAGTTTCTTGGTTTTCAATTTTTCACTTTCTAGAACTTATCATTTGGAGCTGATTCCAATGGATCTGGTGTTGTTATACTTTTAGAATTAGCTAGACTTTTTTCCACTTTATATTCAGATCCAAAAACAAGAGGCAATTATAATTTACTGTTTCTTCTAACTGGAGGTGGAAAAATTAATTACCAAGGGAGTAAAAAATGGCTTGAAGATCAATTAGATGCTTTAGATGGCTCAGTTATTCAAGTAAAACCTACCAAACATTTGTGGAATGACATAATAATTTTAAATTGTAGGATGCTTCCTTTGTGATGTGTTTAGATACATTATCCGCGGCAGATTCATTATACATGCACGTTTCTAAACCACCTAAAGAAGGATCTCCTGCTTCCTTATTCTTCAAAGAACTCAAAACGGCAGCTGATCAATTTTCCACAGTCACTGTTGACGGTGTCCATAAAAAAATTAATTTAGCTGATGATATTTTGGCTTGGGAGCATGAAAGATTTAGCATTAGAAGACTACCCGCTTTTACGCTTTCTACATTAAAGAGTCACCGAGAAATGAGCAGAGGAACAATTTTGGATACCAGAAAAAATTTGGATGTGAATAAACTAGTACAAAACGTAAAAGTCATTGCTGAAGCATTATCAAATTTTGTGTACAATGTTTCTCAGGGTGAAATCTTGGGTGGTTCTTTGGTAAGTTGGATTATATACAGTAATTACAATAATCTCATGTAAATTATTCTAGGATGTTGATAAAAATTATATTGAAGCATGGATGGACTATTTAACGTCTCAGCCACGTTCTCCACAACTTTTGAGTAATAAAGATAATGCTCTAGTCACATTTTTAAAGGATAATTTAAACAAATATCTCAGAGATGTTAAAGTGTCTTATGCTGTTCCTGACAAGCGGGATCCAGATTTTCTGTTTTATGATGTTACCAAAGGGACTGTGAATGTTTATAGGTAAAATAGTACGTTTTTTATGTAACTGGATTAATGCATATTATTTTCAGTGTTAAACCAGCAATATTCGACCTTGTGCTGACATTTGCAATAATTGTGTACCTGGGTGTAGTATATTTGTTTGTACAAAAGTTTTCACTTCTGTATGCTACTGCATGTTCTTTAACTTCAAGCAAAATTAAACAGAATTGAAGATTTTAGCTGCCAAAACCAAACAGTACTTCATGAAGAATAATAATAGTATCCTTAAATATGGTGTATTATTGAACCATTATATGTTATTACATTATTTCTTGTTATGTTTGCGAATATTTTGAATAAATTCAATCAATTTTTTTTCTTTAGTAAAGTATCTAAAACCAAAGTACCTCACCTACAAAAACTATATACACTGCGTTCTAATCGTGGTTTTAATGTAAAATAGGACGATTTGGTTATAATTAATTTTTTACTGATTTGAGTAAAGTGCGATTTATTTTATTTATATATATTCATAGTAAAGTGGTCAGATGGGGCCAAAGGTGACAAAATATTCGTCCGACAACGTAACGTGGTTGAATGATACAACAAAAACTACGCACCTAACCTTACTTTCGTTCGTTTTAATTATTTTATCTTCACCCACTTCATTTTAGAAGTTGAATAGCATCAGTCCACTTTTAGTTTCTACAGTCCTTTATGAGTGTCGGAATTACTTTTTATACATTATTTCAAAATGGTAAAATATAGTATATTTACATACGAAACCCTGGTCCATGCCACTGCCGGAGCTGCGGTAAATAGTAACAAAATATCTAAACCTACAGACATATTATTTAAAAACCTCTTTCCAGGGAAGCATAGTGGCGATGTCGGTTATGTACCCACTGGACAATGTAAAATTTAGAATGCAGTGTAAGTTTTTTTCATGTAATGCATAGAAATTTAACAACTTTTTTTCTGCTTATAGTAGAGGATAATTCAGTAAGTGGAAAGACGCCACTTCAAGCTTTAGTTCACATTTTGAAGAAAGAAGGAATGTAAGTTTCTTTAAATACCTATTTAATAATATCTTTTACAATTATTTTTTTAGTGAAGGTTTGTATCGAGGGATCAAACCAGCACTAACCACTTTAGGCGTGTCCAATTTTATATATTTTTACGCATTCCACGGCCTAAAATCGTTAAGATTAAATTGCAAAAACCCCACCCAAACTGACCTCATTTTAAGTATAGTTGCTGGAGTTATTAATGTCATCACAACAAATCCTCTTTGGGTTGTTAACAGTAGGCTCAAGTTTGACAGAAATCTATACTTTTCTGGATTGTTGGATGGACTCTTTCACGTCGCAAATACAGAGGGATTTAAAACTTTATGGTCAAGTTTGGGTCCTTCATTGTTGTTAGTTTCAAATCCAGCAATTAACTTTACTGTGTATGAGGCTTTAAAGCGTCGCACAGTATCAAGAACTGCGTTTGCCTTTTTCGTTATGGGGGCTGTTTCCAAAGCCATTTCTACAGTCGCAACGTATCCACTACAGGTTGCGCAAACACGACAGAGATACAATAAACATGCTAAAATGAATACAGCAGCAATGCTACTCGATATTGTAAAAAAAGGGGGGCCAACTGCATTATACCAAGGTCTAGAAGCTAAGTTATTACAAACTATTTTGTCTTCAGCTCTAATGTTCATGACATACGAAAAAATTGCTCAATTTGTTTTTACTCTCTTAATGAACAGGAAGGCAGCAGCTTTATAAATTTGTTTTTAATAACAAAATGGGTGCGAAAAAGTACTGTGATAATGTACAAAAAATATATAGTTCAGGAGAAAGAATGTTTAGACAAGATGTGCGGACAGATGCAGGAACATCACATTTTACTGGTACTCGAATATTGCATTTTTCAAATCATCAACTGAACCACATTTTGAAGTACAGGATGCTGTTTTTTTGTTTCCAACTATCGGCACATTGAATGAACATCTTTCTCTAACAATGCCAAACAGGTTTAGGGGTCTAGTCCAAAAGGGTGTAGTATTTTTATGGCTTTTAAATTTTAATAACATATTGTAGCGTAATTTTGTAAGATTACAATAAAATTGTCCAAAATATTTTTTTATTTTTAATTTGTGGCCACTTATTGGGATTCTGATGCGCAAAATGATACGTGACACTGGAATCATGTTGCAAATATTTTTTGAGGCAGCCATTACATATTTTGGTCGATCTTTTTTTTTATTTCGAATTTTCGATGGACATGGTGGTGCGTGGTGAACTAGGGTTGATTCAGTTGGGTTTCATTTTTACTATGTTTTAGGGTTTTTGTTTGCCCATTGTTTCGTCTCCTTGTTTGGCGAACCTGTTTCCCAGAAGTCTCAGAACACCATAAAAAAAATGGGGAGTGGGGAGAGAGTGGATGTTGATTGTTGACAGAATGTCATTCCAACCGCTTGAAATAATAATTTTACTTTTCAATTTAGAAAAAAATAGAAAAATCGGGCAAAAATTACAACACCGTTGCGTAACTATAGCTTTAAAATAGTAGTTTTTTTAATCACAAGGCTACTTGATCTCATAAAGGTTGCAAAGTGGTGGCAATGCATTAGTTGGGTGCATTTTGATTCTGGTTACAATATTGTGGTAGTTTTTGTTTATTTTGTATCACCAATGGAAGTAAAATTGTAGTCACTCATACAGTTCTGTAAATGTAGAGACAAAGCAACAAGCAAACATGGTAAGTGTCAAAGGTGTCTTTGTTACTTGACTGAAAAATTGTCTACGAATTGCAGCAGGCGGACGACCCACCGTATCTTTCTGTTGGGACTGCAGTTAGTGCTAAATATAAGGGAGCATTTTGTGAAGCAAAAGTCAGTAAAGTTGTGCGTATCGTAAAATGTAAAGTGACCTATAAAATGGGTTTGGGTACTGCAACTGTGAGTGATGAACAGGTTAAAGGTACTTTAAGAGTTGGACACACAGTGCAAGCCAAACATCCTGAAAAGAAGGAGTTCGTGGAAGCTACAATTGGCAAGATTCAAGACTGTAGTCAGTACACCGTTGGTAAGTATCTTTATGAGAGAAAGTACCTTTTATTCATTGAATATTTACAGTTTTTGATGATGGGGACATAACAACATTAAGACGGTCAGCTTTGTGTCTAAAAAGTGGAAGACATTTTAATGAAAGTGAGACCCTAGATCAGTTACCCTTGACTCATCCTGAACACTTTGGCAATCCAGTTGTAGGTGGCAGAAGAGGGAGGCGAAATAGACAGTTAAAGTATGTCATAATGTCCACTACAAAACTTACCTAACTTTTGTATTATTAGGGAGGATAGCAGCGAGGGTGAAGGGGAAGAAGAAAATGAACCTGATTTAGAAGGTTACTCCATAGACATAGGACGCGTTGTTAGTGTTGAAGCTACTGACAAAAAAAGAGGGAAAGATAATTGGTTTCCTGGGCTGGTTGTTATTCCATCAGCTCAACCTACTGTAAGAATTAATGTAAAAGATGAATACTTGGTTAGATCATTTAAAGATGGTCGATAGTAAGTACCACAATTTAGTTTAAATTATCATTTTCATTCAAATTTTTCAGTTACACGGTACCTAAAAAGGAAGTCTCAGAATTTAGCAGAGAATTAGGTGAAAAAGTTGAAAGTTCTGTGTTAGCAGAAGCTGTAAATAAGGCCTTAAAATACCTTGATAACAATGAATTACCAGTACACTGGGAAAGAAATTCATTGTTTAATATGCAGTCAATTGATAGTGATTCTGATGAAAATTATAGTGATGTAAGTGTGGTTAGTTTTATTTGATTTGCTTTGTAACATCCTTTATTTCAGTCTTCTGATGACGAACCAAATGAAGAAAAAGACAGGTTTGTGGCACAGTTATACAAGTTTATGGATGATTCGGGAACGCCGCTGAATAAAAGTCCCATGATAGGAAACAAAGATGTAGATTTACACAAAATGTTTAGGGTGGTTCACAAATTAGGTGGCTATAATCGAGTAACAAATAAAAATAAATGGAGATTAATTACCACTCGATTAAAATTGCCAAATAATCAAGCGACGTTTAATCAAGTGAAAAATGTGTATAAAAAGTGTTTATTAAGTTACGAATCGTTTTACAAAACCTTAGGTGTAACAATGTTAAATCATAGTATATCTGCCAAGAAGAATCGCGGAAGGTCATTAATTCGTGATAAAGACAGATCAACTCCAGTGAATAGCCCTAAACCTGATAAAGATGATGATATCTTAGAAAAAAAAGATGATGAGAAAAGTATCCCGGAAGATAAAAGTAAGAAAAAGATGGACTTTAAGAGAGAAGATGAAAAAAGGCGGAAAGAACTTGTCGAAAACAGCGACACTAATAGTAGCGATGCTACTGATCAATCTGAATCTGTGCCAAGTACGTCCAAAGATATTGGAAGACCCCGACGGATCGACCGATTGAAAGAGAAAAAAGCGAAAACGCCAGTTGGTGACAAAGTCAAACCTGAAAGTATAAAAAAGGATGATGAAGAAAAAGTAAGTTGATGTTTATCATTATGTATAATTTTGAAATTGCTTTTCTAGATCCAACAGACAAGGTCTAAGTCACAAACACTCAAACCTAAAGAAGTGGTAAACAGTTTAAAGAAAGATACAAAAGCTGGGGACAATGCACTGAAAATAGCTCCAAAACAAACAACAAAGAAAAGTGATGATGATAAGAAGAGGGGACGCAAGAAAATTAATTCAGATGAAAAGGCATCTGTTGAAATTGTTACTGACAGCCTTTCAGGACAGACAATTAGTGTTGGTGATAAATTGAAAGTTTACTACGGTCCCACTCATGAGCAGAAAGTAACATATGAAGCAAAAGTCTTAGAGATTGAAAAGGAGCCTTCAGGTCTACAGTATCTTGTACATTATACAGGCTGGAATACAAGATATGATGAATGGATAGCACCTAGTCGTATTGCAGAAAATCTCAGCGCTAACACGAAAGCTAAAAGATTAAAACAGGGTACTGTCTCAGCGTCTACATCTTCTAGTAAAACTTCTACTGTTACTAAAACATCTAGTGCTAAACGCGGCCGAGGCACTTCTGTTACAAGTAGGATTACCACTACTACTAGCACTACTGAACCACCGCGCTCAACAACCCCATCTAGTGTTACTTCTTCTTCTAGTAGAACCAAGAGTCCAGCAACACCTGCTACACGATCTACAAGTCGTATGACTCGTTTGGGTATGACCATAGAATTGTTAGATTTTTTACATTTCAAATTTAAAAATTTTTTGTGGTCAAAATCACAGTCCCGTGGTACGAATTTGATTATTATTTAACATACATCATGTGAAAGTTAAGGACAATATCACTATAAGTTTTGCTGAAATTATAAATCGTTCTTTGCCAAAACTACTTTTTTGTATACGCTCCCAAAAACAGCCATTTTACGGACTCAAAAGTGTCCGTAAATGAATCTTTTTCGGACTCAATCCCAAAAAGTTACCATGGCAACTATTAATGATCATCTGAGGTCATTTAGGTTAATAAAGCACACGTATTAAAAGATTTGTTGAGGTGTTTTTGGGCTTTAACAAAAAAATGTTTGTGACACGTACCTAAAACGTTTTTTGGGACTCATTTGCTATTCCGGAAATAGCAAAATTCGTCCCAAAAAACTATATTTTAGGCACTTGTAACAAAAATAACTATTTTATCCCAAAATAAAATTGACATAAAATGTTGTCAGGAAAAAAAATAAAAGTCCTAATTGCCCTCTAGGAAAGTTGACTCATAAGGGTGAAATAATTTCAGCAAAACAAAACTTGGCTCAGTTGAATGATTTTAAGCATTTTTAACTGTTTGAATAGATTATGGACGCAAAACTCGAAGGGCTTCAGCTCAAACAGACGTTTCAAATCACTCAGAATCCGATTCTGAAATTTCCGAAAGTGAAGCGGAATTAACTCGAACGAGGAGTGGAAATAAATCTGAGGACGTGGAAATTAGAACGTATAAAAAGAAGATATCAAGAACACCAACGGTCACAAAATCGGAGAAATTGAAGGATAAGGAAGACGCGGATACTGAGAAGGAAGAAGAATCTGACAGATCCAAACGTACAAGAAAATTGAAAAAATCTCCAGAAAAATCGGGCGAAGAAAGCGATGAAGATAACGGGTCGAACTTACCGAAAGGAAGAGATTTCGATCTAAATCAGATTCGGTCCGAATTGAAAGGTTTTAATAAAGCTGTCAAAGTGCCATCGCTTGAAGCTGCCGAAAAGGAAGTGTTATCGTCATCAGATGATTCAAGTACTCCAATACTAACAAAAATCGAAACCGTAGAAGAGAAAAAAGAAATCAAAGCAATCGAAACGTCGCCCACGTCTGACGATATCTACGAGTTCAAAGAACCGGAACCGTTTGAGTTCGAATCGCGTGCGAAAATGGTGGATGACAAGGCGTCGAAGAAACGAATACCTCGATTATACGAAGATCTTGAAAAGAGCCCGAAAAAGAAAATCATAAAATCGCCAGGCAAATCGGATAAGGATAGTCCAGAGCTTGATAAAAAGAGGTTTAGGAGGACACCGGTACGGAAACAAGATGAATCGGAAGAAGATGAGAAAAAGGATGATGAGGATCCATTTGATAAGCTTGTTGAGTCGCCATCGTTCAATATAAAACCGCTGGAAAAAGTTGTTGAAAGTAAGCCAAAAGTGTTGAGGAGTACTCCAGAAGAAGCTTTGAATGTGTTTAGAGATGCTGTTGAGGAATACACCAGAGATATTGATTTGTCTGATAACGAATCGCAAGGACAACATCTTTTCACGCGGGATGATGAACTTTTCTCGGGTACTTTTACCAAATACTCGCCTGAAAGAAATCTTGACCTTGATTTTTCAAGTAAAGTGGAAGATATAAAAAAGGAAAACGATGATTTGGAGTCAATTAGAGAGTCTATCACAAGAGCAATCGAAAGAACTCCATCTAGTGACGAGTGTGATAATTTAAGCGACGAAGACGATGATTTAGTTATTACTACATCAACGATAACGTACCAAGGTAAAAAACGAGAAGCGGATTCTACTTCGGTAATAGTGGATGCTAATCTGATTGAATCTACAAGCCAAGAAGATGTTGAAGTCAAAGTTGAAGTTAAAGAAGAAGTTATCCACAAGAGTCCTATTTTACAGATCTCTCCTGCTCTCCAAGAGACAGATAGCTCACTGCTAGAGTCGATATGTTCACAGCCTTTAGCAATTTCGACAAAATTAGAAGATACAAAAGACCTTAATTTAAAAACCGGCACAAGGATCGCAGATTCTCTACTACAGAAATTGACTTCTATAAATAATAAACCAGACTCTGACAGTGAACAAGATATTAAAAAAGAAGTAGATAAAGATACTGACATAGATGATGGTATCAAGTTGATAGATGTTACAAGGATGATTAAACAAGTTGAATTAAAAGTCAAACCTTCTGACATGGAAGTAAAAAAATCTGCCACTCCAACGAAAATAGAGCCTATCAGCGATATTAAAAAAAGAAGAAAAGTTGTCAGTAGAGCGTACATAGAGGAATCTGATTCAAACAGCAGCGATTCGGAACAACTCGTCATTGCAAGATCAGATGAAGATTCTCAGACGACTTCATTAGATAAACCTGACCTTAAAGAAAGCGACAGCAATATGTCTACCGCTCATATTGGAACTACAGACGATTCTCAGTCTCAAGAAGAACAACGAAATTTCAAATTTGACACCACAGACAAGTCGTTGAGTCCTGAACCGATAAAAGAAGAACAACACGAACCTGAAAATGTCAAAGAAGATGAGCCAGATTCTCAGCTTCACTCGTTGCTTTTATGCGAGGAAACGATACCCAGAAGTCCGGCGCCTGCATCAGAAGGTTCTAGCGTTGTTGAACAAAAACCTAAAGCGAAATCGGTTTTAGAAATGCCTTTTGCCAGTGCGCCTGGCAATTGTAATAATAAAAATATGCTGCTAAATAACGAACACAAACCAGTAACGAAACCACAGCCACCGCCATTAGTACTGCCTATAGCAAATAGGGATAATCGTGATGTTTCGACCGTCATCACTCCACCTTCAACACCAGGCAGTTCCACAAGTGGGTAAGTGCGGCACCCGTTGACTGGTAACGTATAATTATTGCCGTATTAACGTTTAAAATGGGACTTTGTAGGGACCATGGGGATTTATCTCCTAATACTATAGAAAATGAAAGTTGTAAGTCAAACGACGCAGAATTGGATTATCCAAGGAAACGAAGAAATTCTTCTCTTAATAAAGTACCGTTGTATAGTGAAGATGGTAAGTAATTTAAAAATGTCTTCTAACATCGTTACTTTATTATTCCATTCAACAGATACTCAAATGACCAATGAACCTAGCACCGGAAAAAAATCTCGAGAGGAATGTGTGGCGGCTTCTTGTAGAAAACGCCGAAAATCTGTAAGAGGTATCGACGAAATACCGGCGAAACGAGGGCGTAAACCTCTCAACCGATCAAGGCAAAATAGCGACAGCGATGACACTTCTGAACATTCATTAACGGGTTCTGCTACGAATTTAGGTTTACCATCATATGATAGAACTTCAAAATCACCAAGACCTTCAAAGTACAACTTTTTCGTGGAATTTGGTGAGTTATTACCAACAGGAATTTTGTTAAAACTTCATCGTCTTTATTTTGCAATAGATCCAAGTTTGAACAGTGGCCAAAGAATTGCCGTATTACAACAAAAATTATCGGAGCTTCGTAAAACTTATGCTGAAGTGAAAGCCGAATTAGCAGCTGTAGAAAGGCGTAGGAAAAAAATTCGACGAAGAGAGCGTGAAGGTGAGTAGTGAAGCATGCGCTGCGCAAAGATTGGTATTTTGAAGAGTAATTAAATTATCTCTTAGATTATTATTTTTTTTTTAAATCTACTAACGCCGCCATGTAAAGTATTGACAACATTTACGAAAATAAAGGAGGAGATAATGTAATTTCTAGTACTACAATCTCTTTAAATTGCAAGAGCAAAATTTGCTTTTTACCTATTTTATATACGTAACACAAAGAATCAATAGTTGATCTTTGAAATCTGAACAAAATATAAGAGATGTTTTTCTACGTTGCGTACTAAAACTTCCTAATACTTCCATGTCAGAGAGGTTAAAAATATAGTACACATTCAAATTGATTATCCTATAAAGTGAATTACTCATGTAAAACTCCGTGGGCATCTCGGGAACAGATTGAGATATTAAAATTCTGTGAACACCATTGTTACTATGTTAAAGGAGGCACTTAATTTAATGTATATACGCTAGCGTCGTGGACCTAATTCAATTTTTGATGTTGGTTTACAACTTTTCGGGGAATTTAAAAAGAAATGTAAATTGTCTACACAAATACATTCTTCTAGTGATCATGAACTGTGTCACGAGGAGACATTTCGTCGTAAAAACGAGTAAATTATACCAGCTGTCAAACTATTGGCGTGAAATATCAAACTTGATCAAACACTAGCGAAACAAAGGACGTTTTAAGGACTTCGTGACAATACTGGCCATCAAAATGCATATGTTATATCGTTGAAAATTTAATAATAATAATAAAAAACCGATTATGATGATTCCTTCGCACAAAAAAACACAGCAAATACTTCATGCAGGTCATGGCGTATTTTTCAATAACTATTATTTAATAATATTTGAAATGACATCAACGGGGGATAGATATTAATTTTAATGAACAATGTAATACTAATTATAACGTTACTCTGTTCCCTGAATTTCATCGAAATTAAATGGGCTGTTTCTGAAATAACCGATAAAAGATGGCGGCATAAACATTCAGGAGGGGATGAATCAATAAATTCCACTTAATGTTCCGTAGTTCTTCAATGCATGCAAGTATCTTTGCAAAATTTGATGATCCAAACTTTTTTAGGACAACCCATATATATAAGTCTGATTGCGGAAGATTACGCATTTGTCGTGGACTATTGAAAAAAAATCTGACGCAAGCCATTATGGATACCATTTACGGTTATTTTTCAAATATACAAGGTCTTCCATTTAAAGGTGGTGTTTTTTGTTAATGGAAACATGTCGGGTGTTCAATTGAAAAAGTCATCAAGTTGGCCTTGATTTTTTTTAACGTTGCCAGTATGTCTACAATACACCTAAAATTTAATCGATGGCAACTGACAACACGGAAATGTCAATTATACACAGTATGGATTAATAAAACACGTGCGTTTTTCGCTCCGTTTTCTTCTATCAAAACGCCAACTTGATGACTTTTCAGTTGAACACCCGTTACACATTTAGGTTGCTTTTAAAACAAAGATCTAAAGTTAAGTTATAAAAGGTTATCCACAAATACTTTTTTTTGCGACAACGCATACATATTAAATAAATAAGAGTAATGTGTTCCCGGAATTTTGGAAATTTGTTTTCGATTTTTTATGTAATTAATAAAATTGGTTAAGTCGGTTATTAATTTTTTAAACTTGTAAAAATGCAAATAACGTTATATCTTGAAAGTCATGTTACAACATTTATTTAATAAAATTTTACGATGTCGTCATTGACTTTGTAGGAGGAAGGACTAAATTAAATTAAATTAATTTATTGATAATTCGTTGTTCTGTAATCATACAGTCAATGAAGTCTCAAGAATTTGTTGAATGCATTATTAAAGCACAAATAAAGGACCATTCGTTCCATAAATTTCTAGCAACGTTGACGTAAATAAATTTTGAGTGACGTCATGAAGTTTTTGGAAGGTATGAACAGATCAATTCTGGTACACGATTTCCTACAATTGGTTTCATAGTTTCCGAATACATTGTAAAAATGAATTGTACAATTTTTTTTCCTTACTTGCAAAAGGCAAAAATAGAGGTCGATTGATAAATCACAGGTGTACATATATTAAATGGTGTTGCAAACTTTTGAGATGATTATAAAAATTTTCGAAGCCATAAAAAGACGAATTCTGATCATGATCGACGCAATCGGTTTTGTAGTTTCTATTTAAACTATTAAATTTTGTTGCACAATTTTGACAGATACTGTTTTGAGAGATAAAACGTCCGTAAATTTTTGGTTGACCAACATACGAGTATTTTGGCATTTTACTGTATACACGTTGTGCTTAAAACAAATCTAAAATTTCACAGCAATCTATCCAGTAATTTCGGAAATTACGTATCTAATAAAGTCGTCCACAGACAACAGATTGACGAGAAAGGGAGATCCACTTTTTATATTCTAGGAGATACCATACGTTGAAGAAATTTAAGATTTCCAGAATAAGCAAAAATACGTCTCCCGTTTCCGTCTGTCTGTGTGTCTATCTATCATCTATGTCGATTTTTATTAGACAGATGATCTCCGAAACTAACGAACCAATTGTTATCAATTTTATGTGTATATTAGGGATATCCTGAAGGTGATAAAACGCTAACTAAAATTTGTCTGATTATCCCCACCAACAATTTGATAAGGTCACCTAAAAATTTTGTATGGTAAATATCATATACTCTTATTTATGGTTTATGAATCCGCCTTGATTTTTTACTCTAGGCATCCAGGTTGTTGCAAAAATAAATTGATATAATCGCATAATATTTGACACTAATATAAAAGAAAACCGTTCAGGAAATGCTCAGTGACTCAAATGGTTCGTATGCTAAGAACGCGAAAATCGCGGATTCAGTACCGGAATGGTCCACTTCTTTTTTTCTTACACTGTAACTAGTATTATCTTTTTTAACTAGATTTGTTTGATTGTACTTCAGGGGCGAAAAAAATTCAACTAATATAAGTAATTCTCAAAAATAAGAATACATTGATAAACCATAAAGTACAGACTAATAACCCACGCCTATATCTGTCTTATTTTTTTTAGAGTACGTCAGATTAAATCCTTTTAAATATACCTCGATCTGATCTGAAAAATTTATGTTTACCGTTCATTTATTTTTGTTTGACATTCAACTGTTCACTTTTGAGCTTAAGCTAAAGAAGTATTGTAATAGGGTCCATCTGGGGATTAGCTATTTTCATGTTTTCTCCAAGTTTCTTGACCACTAGAGTACGAAAAAGTAGGCTCGTGTTTTCATCTGTCTGTATCGATTTTTATTAGACAGATAATCTCCGAAACTAGTTAACCGATTTGTTTTCAAATTTTGTTAGCGTGTTAGGAACATCGTCAACAATGTAATGACGCCCCCTCAAACTGTATAAAATGGCATACTCCATGCCCCTGTACCTGTGGTTTATTAATCCGCCTTGATTTTTGTCACAATTACAGAATTACTTTATTAAAATGTACAATATTTGCCACGAGTGTCACGTAACAGATATTTGGTCTGCGTCCGTAACGATCTGCCGGTGGCCTTGTGGATTTTTCCGTGCTTCAGCGTTAAACTTGGTTTTACACGCGTGAGTTCAAATCCCATCCTCTTTGATTTTTTTTTACAGATTTCTGAAAGAACGACAATACAGCGTCCGATTTTTCATTTTATCTCAGACAATACGTAATATACTTTTTCGAAATTTTGCAAAGCTATTACGACGGATTTCTACCAAAAAATTAGCTCAAATTATTTTATTCTTGAAAAATACAAACAAAGCCGCAGTGTTACTGCACTATTTTAACTATTAATTTTTAATAAAAATTTTAATATTGATACGTGATAATAGTTTGGGGGCGTCGAAGGTTTAAGCTTCCCACGCAACAAGATTTAGTTAATTCCTTAAAAGAGATGTCAAAATTTTATAACAAGAAAACTTTTAGAATTATAAACTTAACAGTTGTCGCAATTATAATTATCTTAATAAATCATCGTGGCCACCCGGTACATATATCTGTGTACGCACGGGTGATATAATTTTTTTAACGAAAATAAAATCTCGTGTTTTTTTTTTTTTTTAGAGATTTGATTGGTATGAAAAATTGTCATAGTTAAAAAAATTAAATTTACCTCGAAAATATGCAGAAAATTAGTCCAAATTTTGAATTATTAGTAGTTTTAAAAACTCTTGTATTTTATGAACAATCTCTATATTTTGGAAATTATTCTAGCGCTGAAGGCTTCAAAGCAAGAAATGGTTTGTGGATGATCCAAATTGTACAACCAGTGCTCTTCCAATTTTAGACTGTAAGAAACGCTGTAAAATATTTTTTATGTAGTGTATTGTAAGAAATGATTTTATCAAATACCTGCTGCGAGGTTTAATTGTCTTTATTTTTTGTATATCGTTGTTGTCAGTCTTATTTAAGAGATATTTGTTATTATACTATAATATTTTGTTAGCTGAAGACTTAAAAAGTATATCGTAACAGACATAAGATGAGATCTCGTCAATAATTTAAACTTTAAACAAGATTTTATCATTGTTTAAAGTTTAGTTGCATTAATATGATGCCAGATATATATATAATTTGTTTAAAACATTGGAATGTGGTATAGATTGTTTATAAATAGTACCCACATTTATTTGTACATAATTTTGTTATTATATAGTTAGAGAGCATCTTACAACTAACATTAAGGCATTAAATTTATACTCCAATTATTTTGATTACCTTGTTGTATAATTAACTTATGTTAGTTAAGTTGTACTAATATATTATATTCTTGCAAAGGAGATGCTAAATTCGTGTAAAATATATTTGGCTCTCACAGTGGCAATACTTTTATATGATTTATTTATTTGGAATAAAATAGAATTAATAATTTTATGTACTTATGCAGTAGATTTTGTCATGTCACCTATGGAACTTCATCACAGAATTTTGCGGGTAAGTATTATTTATTTATTATTATTTTTTTAATATGGAAAATAATCGTTTTATAAATTATTTCGGCATTTTATATATCTAAATGTTTTTCTGATCGGAAGCGTTGGTGGTGACAAATAGCGTCGCCAATCTCAATGCAGTAATATCGTAGCAGCGTGTTGGTTGGGTAAGTCTAGGACGGATATTTAGGCTGGTAAAAACCCAAAGACTTCTCCGTACCGTTAGCCATCGCTTCGTCACCAAAGTAGAAAGCAGACTCCTACCAACACATAGTCGAACGTCACATTCCTCTTGTATTACAACCATCCGGCCTTCTATTGCCAACAGCGGCAACGCAGAAGCCCATTTGGTATTAAATGCGGAAATTGTACCGTTTAATAATTTTCAAAAACATGCCTTTCGCATAAATTAATAACCGAATTTTGATGTATGCAATGAAAATCTCGCGTTAATTTTTATTTCAAAGCCAAACATAACATTTGCAAAAGTAGTATCGCTGTAGTAATCGGTGGAAACACGGACCCATATACAAAAAAGTTTTCCATCATTATAATTTATGGTCGTCAATTTTCGACAATAATGGAACAACAGAACGGCCTCACACCGTCGCGGTAGTAGTGGAACAATGATGTGAATTTCATTTTCATTTATGAGGACGCAAACATTCCCACAATACTTAATAACTGGCAGAGGATCGAGATTTATCCCATTTGGTAAAAGATATGCTGCGCCCCAAGAAAAAATTCATTCGAACAAAAACGTCCTAAGTTAAAATGAATTACGTAAATCAAATAAAATGTCATAGTCGAAAATTACATTCTAGATATAAAAATACTTCTTCTACCCCCTAATACTCATGAACAAATCAAAGAACCCGCGTTTGCGCCGTTGAATTTTTAGAAAAAACACTTCGCTGGTCCACTGGTGTGCTGGCCAACTGGATTCCCTGCTCCACAATGTGACCGGAGCTGTGCGTCGATCCTTTTCTCGTGCACGGGTAATCGTATTCGTCTCTCTGTTGCTTGACGTCAACCGTAGATGTGAAGGGACCGTGTACAAAAATAGCTCGTATCGCTCAAATACGAATAGAGACCAGCAGCAAGCCGAGGCAGCCGAACGAATTCATCAAAATAAATAGCGGAAAAAATGGAAGCACAAGATTATTAAAAAAGAGTTCTTCAGTCATCGAGAGGATATAAAATTGGCGAAAACACGTCAGAAGATATAAAACAGGAATGACGCTGCTTAAAAAAAATAAGATCAATACGGCCGCATATCATGTATGACTACGATATCTACACAAATCTGCAATTATTGTATAAGGTTACGCAGAAAACTCTACATTGTAGTTGGAGAAATTGTTGAATTAAAATGGACTGCTATTTACACAAGAATATACTGTTCAGTTTACTATATTTATTGCAAAATGACAGCAGGTAGGTATTGTAAAAGTAGAATGAAACTACTTAATTTTCAGTTATTCGGTGACAAAAGTTGACGTAATTGTGGTAACAGACAATAAGAATTTTAGGCCTTTGAAGTGGAGAGTAGCATCTATTCACAAGTCTTAATAAAGACCTATGAAATACAACAAGAAACTTTAATTTGCATTCTACCACAGATATTGACTATTCAAATTATTTCACGGAAAGCTATACAGATTTTTGTTGTATACTTATTTATGTACTATTTCTCTCTAAAATATTTATGCTTCCATAATTTTTTTTCTTAATCACTACAGATGTCACAAAAATATATATATGGATACATAAAATTGATGTATAAGTCAAAATACAAACGAGCTTTCACAATCTTAGTACGACATTAATGGTGCATTCAACAAAATATGCCATCATGTCGATATTTCTAGCCAAAAAATTTACCAGAATTTACGTATGAAAATAAAAGACAAAAATGGATTTCTGCGTCATTTAGTTTTCCCGGTCTACCCATTTCTAGTTGGGGAGAAACCCAATTAGATAGTTAAACGGTGACCACGGGGACTGGTATTTTTTCTGTTTCTCAAAAAGGCACTCATGCCGTAAGATCAAGATGAAGTTTATGTTGAAACAAATGACTGCAATATTCGGTGTTTAACTTTCACGGCCCGTCATAGCATAACTAACCGTAACAAGTCATCAGGGAACAGGGAGAATACAATAAAGAACCCTAAACATCAACCATAGTGGACTCATTTTCACTTATTCCAAACCGACTAAGATACTGTTTACCGTGATAACTAATGAGTCATACAATGAGTCAACACTGTGCTTATTACTTCTACTTATTAACTATGACTCGGCTAACCATAAGATGGTTTACAATTTCTTTCAAATATGGAAAAATACCTACTAAAACGAGTTCAGTTTCTTTATATACTTCATGAGTGAGTGCAGAAAAAAATCCACGATGTATGTACTAATCAATTTTGGGTGAAACTCTGTTAGAACCTTTGAATATAGAACCACATCTTAAATTCTAAAAAGTCACTAATCTTACCCACATAACAAATCTTATCTGATTTTCAAAGAGTGATTTGTTTTTATCTGAAATTAAACTCATTTTGTTTTGTATTTGCAAAGTTGTTACTGAAACATCATTTGTTGTTGCCATACCATAATTCAACGTACATTTCCCAAGCGATTTTTTTTTTAATTTATGTGTTTCAAAATTTCTCAACAGTACACTAATATTCACTATTCAATAATTTTATAGTTCTATAAAAATGTATATGTGGATGAAAAACTGTGTACATTTTCTCCTTTTTCGTATTAGAACAATGGAATCCTCGCACGTCATGGTGGGAATTAACTTTTCACCGACATTCAAAACTGCACTATTACAATAACCCCTAATTAAGTAAAACCGATACCAATATTTCGTTCTCTTTACCTGTGTTTCCCCGAAGTGACGACAACTTTTGCACAACATATCCTTCGACGAGAGATGGATGTTTATTTTACGCAGCTGCTGGTCTCTATAACGACAGAAGTCTGCCTTGGTGAGCAAGCAACCAGCCAGCTGTATGGCTGTCTCTTCCTCTCCCACGGTATCAGGCAACTGTTGTTATTCAGCCAAGCGTCCTCCATCTCTCTTTCTGTTTACTGCTATCTACGCTCCACAATTTCATATAAAAGAAGAAACCAGCAACAAAAACTTCCCGTACTCGTACAAAACAACATACGGAAAACTCCGATAATACGCGACTATTATCCCTGGCGCCAATTACGGAAAATGATCGGAACTCCCTAGACAGTACCAAAATTTTAATAAAGATCTTCCGTAAATAGGTGAATTATTATTTATTAGTATCAAAAAGGTGACGTATGAGGGAATTAAAAGGCGTTCGGGGAGGAATGCGTTTGAAATATGGGGGGAATAGAACCAAAACCGCTAAATTTTGCTCAGTGGCTGCGGTATTATATTTTTAGTAAATTAATTCTACGAAAGCTATTGAGTAAGCATGCGCATGACGTCATTTATTTGAAAGTCCCACAACATCGACTAACAAATCCACGGACAAAATAGGTAAAGGTTTAGTATTTATACTAAATTTTTTACAATAGTAATTTGTACCGTCTGTAATTAAAAATTTTAGTAAATGTTTAAGATTTTTCGTTGTTAAAGTGGTTTGTCATTTGTTAAAAAATATTGCTAAAATTCTTCAAGGCAGACTGCGAAAGTATTTTAAAACGAGAGGCGAAGTAGTGCAGAACATCAATGGAAGTGTCGCCCTCTGTGCCGATCTATATACACTACGGTTAAAAATCACACGCACTCGACAGCTTATAAGCTGTATTTTAATCAAAGTTAGTGGATGATAAAAGTCTTTAAGCAGAAAGGAATCTACTAGACAGTAGTATTAATTATTTTATTTTTGAACAAAAGTTTGTGAAGACTGTTTACATGTTATCGATTCCTACCATTTTATTCGATCCAGCCCATAGTTTTCATGTCCGCTACGAGGGTTGATCAAAATTAATTCAATCCACGTTGTCTGCAATGGTACAAAAGTCGGAAAAAGAGGTTTAAAAAACGTGTTTTGCGTTGGCGGATGTAAGGCGTTTTCCTTTGTTGATTTTAACTGACGAACAAATTTTATCAAAAACAAACATTTTCTTTAAATTTAAATTAACCTTCAGCATTTATTCTATTTCCGTTTGGAAAACGACAAGATATAAAAGGACCTCTTCCTTAAGTAACGAAATAAGGAGTATAGCCAGCGACGGTGCTGCTAGAGGAACTAGGATTCAGATTTTTTCACGAACAATAAAGTTTAAACTTTTTTTAATATTAATTGGAGATTATTTGTACTTTGATAAATTAATTTCAGCCGGAGAACATACGATTTAAAGCGTTATTAAAAATTGTTACAGCATATTCACCGTAAGTAAATCCGCTCTTGCCGATCGTCAAAAACAATGCCCCGTATATTGTTCAGGATTTAGAAAACCCAAAAAGGATGCAACAATACTTGGCAGTTTTCCAAACGTATTAAAACCGACTGGTTGGTTTCTATTGCATGCCAGAACAAGCGAATGTTTTCTGAGTTTTTTTTTTATCAAATGCTCCATACCTTCAAATTATTTCTACCATGTTTATTTCTTCAATACCCCTACTTCTAATAAGCACATCCCTTGGTGTCTTCGTTTTAATATTTGGCGTCAAAATGTGGATAACCTGTCCTTCATATTTAATATCTCGTGGACCTCATTTGTTCCCACCTGTAAGCGCTTGCAAGTCGAATAATTAACGCAGCTGCCGTCATCAAACATTTTTCATCATCTGTTTCGTTGTTTCTGCTTTTTTAAAAATCTCAAATTTTTTGGGCAAAATCTTTTTTCCTGAAACGTAACACAAGGAGTATTTTCTCCTACCTATAGTTCTGCATCACTCTTCTTAGAGTAGATTTCTTTGTCGTTTTGATTTTTCGGGAAA